GCCACACTTGCTGCTCCATCCTCCATCTTTTCCCCCATGCCCTAGTTCACTATTCTTGATAGCCTTAAACTATGGCTATTCAACAGGAAACAATTTGTGTTTATGAGTTTATTTGTGTTCATGTACACAGTGAGTTACTCTATAGTTGTGGAAACAAACGAAACACAACTATCATACCTAACCTGGGTGAATCCCAGGGAAATAAAATAATCTAGAAATAACAACAAAATCCATAGAGCACAAAACTGATATGTTGTGGCAAAGAGGATGGTGGCTACATTAGAGGTGGAGGAACAGGTTAGTGATAGGAGGTTTATATCATGAAGCACCACCGGTGGGCTTTTTTCTCAGCCTGTGTGGTAATTCGCCTGATGCTGGATTTGTGATGATGAATCAAACTGATATTAAAGTTTTGTTTTTATTGCAGTTTTCAATCTGTGTTTACTCTCCCATGGCATTTTAAAAATCCGTTAAGAACAGGTCAATGGAATTACTGAAGAGGGGTCAATGGCAGAAGCATCACTAGGAGGAAACAAATGTTCCTTTAACCTGACCATGAATCTGGAAAGGAGCAGATAATTTCAAAAGCTATGATTTAGAAGGCAAGAGAAGCAGGGGTTTGTGTGAAGAAGATGCCAAAGATAACTCCTAGGAGCAACTGATGTCTGCAGGAAAAGAGGTAGTCCTCTGAAAGGATAACATATGGAAGGAGTGATGGTTAAGGTGAGGGGATACTGGAAATGAAGGGTTTGTCAATGGCCAGCCATGGGAAGAGAAGAAAGGGTGCGTTTGTTGCAATTGTTCACAGAGCAGAGAATGTTTGAAACACTAGTTGTTGAGAAAGGAAGAACAAAAGAGCAAAAGAAATATAGTGGGATTGCCATGTGGTGCTGGGAGTTTCGAGATGAGTCACCCTGAGTGTGTAGTAAACCAAGGAGAACTTCTCCAGAGGCACCCAGCTACTTCTGTGTGAGTATAAAGAGAAGCAGTGATCCAGATCGTGGGTGTTTGGAATTTTGCCAGGAGGGTCTGGTCAATAGCATGTTTTGTTGTGGGATAATCTTTTTGTACATTGTTAAGATATGTCTTTGCCAAGATACCTTCTGATTGGTTAATAAAGAGCTGAACAGCCAATAGGAAGGCAGGAGAGGATAGGCGGGACTTCTGGGCAGAGATAGGAAAACTCTGGGAGGGAATCATAGTTGAGCCAATGAGACACAGAGGAAGTCAATGTACAGTACTGAGGAGAGAACGAGCCACATATAATTATTATAATGTAATTAATACAAACGGGTTAATTTTAGTTATAAGAGCTGGTTGGGAACAAGCCTAAGCTAAGGCCAAGCTTTCATTCTTAATAAGAAGTCTCTGTGTCGTTATTTGGGAGCTGGCAGTCCAAAGAAAGATCTGCTACAATGTTTGAAGTTGTATAATTAATTAAAATACATAAATAAGAGATTGAAACCATGTATGGTGGTGTGTGCCTGTAATCCCAGCACTTGGGAGGCTAAGGTAGAGGGATTGTGAGTTTAACTCCAGGCTGAGCTATGTAGTAAGACCCTCTCTCAAAAACTAAGCAAAACAAAACAAAAGCCCCAAATGATAATGTGCCAAAGACCAATTTTCCACCTCATTATAAAGAAAAAGAGAGTACTAATAGGTCCAGGCTCCAGAGTTCTCTGGAAAATGAACTTTCACTTGAGAAGGTAAGAAAGAGGAGGAGGTCTGTATCCAGAGTACTCTCCTCTCCTCCTTAAGCACTTTCCCCTGTTGTTGGAGCCTCAACCACGTGGGGACATTTCCTAGTCCCATCCTTATCTTTTACTCTTCCAACTACTCCAAGTCCCTTTCTCCTCTTTAAACCCCCTCTCCATGTGCAGAGTATCTAGAAGGAATAACCATGAAGTGGACATTGTTAGGGTCCCCAGGAGATTTGAGTTATGGTGCAGGTTTCTGTAGCTGTTGTTTTACATATCATTTTTAGAATTCTGTTCCAAATACAGAACGACCACACAATGTCAGCAATGCACCAGCATGAACTTGCAAAGGGGAGTTAGAGAGACAGACATAGGTAGTCAAGAAAAGTGAAAGCAGTCTCCCTGAGAGTACAGCTTTTAGTTCTCAGAGGAGAAAAGTTGGAAGAGGGTTGAGGAACAGGGTCCAGTATCTAAACAAGACCAATGGTGGAAAGTGGAGGACCCAGGGACCACATAAAATACCAAAGCCAAGTGGGTTAGCAGACTTCCAGCCTTAAGCTCCTCCCATCTCAAAGGGATAAAGTTGTTACTTTCCCTTTCTCTGTGTCTTGGTTTTCTGCCCTTCCTGGATATTTAACTATTTGTACTAGCCAGGGAATGAACTCTGCAACTCCCTAGACAATCCCCATCATCCTCATTATGTTTGGATTCTTGGAACAGCAAAGAAAGCAGCTTTATCCTTGGCTCGTACTTATCTCTTTCTTTTGTTAATAACCCACTCACATATTCATTCAGCCTCCCCATCACTATTTAGTCCACAAACATAAGGAGTAACTGACATGACTCACGCATTGACCTCTGACCTCCAGCGACCCACATTTGGGGTATTTAAATCCAAAAGGATTTCCGGTTGCCCTGAATTCTCCTTCCCTCTTTCATGACTTCATAAAACACAACGATCTCCTGGGTGATTCTGATTAGATTTTTTATTGACATCACTCATTTTTTAGTATGGGTGTAATTGGCAATAGCTATACTCACATGTCGATCTCTCTCCTAGCACTGTGCAAACACTAATATATTTAATCCTCACATCTAAGGAGTCTAAACCATGAGGCACAGAAAAGCTAGTTCAGAAGCACGCTCACCCTGAGGTTATAATAGGATCAACCAAGAAGCCCAATCAGCTGTGGCCCAGGGCAAAGGAGAGTATCATGCTTCTAATGTGCTCAACTGTTAGTTAAATCCATTTCTGCCTTAATTTCTTATCATTGAGAGTTAGCCATCGTTATTTGTAGTTCGGACGATATTAAACTTTATGTAAATATTAAGAAAGTAGGAATCTGTCCATGTCTCTAACTTCTGTTACTCACAAAGACTTCTGAGATGGTCAGCGGGATCCATAAAAACAGCAAGGTATAGAGATTCCTGGACCTTGTCCTTATGACAAGGAATGTTGAGAAGCACTCAATGAAGCAGAAAGAAGAATGCACACTTTGGAATTTGGGGGGCTGGAGAAGAAAGAGAATGCAAGTGGAACTAAGTAACTCAACTAGAACGGTTAATATAACATCTATTTTCTGTTGTATCAGGGAATTAGAAGGGATATTTGCACCAGGGCCATGCAAATCTTCTCTGTATCATTGCATTTTTAGTATATGTGCTGCTGATGTGAGCAAAACCATTTGTAGTACATCTAAGAGCATCCTGTTGAAAAGATCAGAAGCAGTGAACTAATTCTTAGTGCAGAGAAGAGGAGAAAAAGTAAATAAAGCAAACAGTACAGAACACCAAGAGCCTCAGCTTTCTGTTGAGAAAAAGGGAAAGCATGAACATTACAGTTCTAGTTACAGGGAGTTTAACATATAGGATGTGAAGGGAAGCATGAACTCTATCTCTCACCAGTGAAATTATTCATCATTACTTCATTTTCTTTTCTTTATATACCTTATTGCCACATTCCAACTCATTCATTCACTCCTCTGTTCATACCCTATCAAACAAGCACTTTTTAATTGTCTCCCAGCTGGCATGTGTTTTTCTATGTGTGATGAATATTGCAGTTGATAAGAGTTTGTGTATCATCTAAGAAGAGAAAGTGATAGGCAGACAAAAGAGTTTTTAGCACAGTGCTTGGCATAAAATGAAATTTAATGCATGATTTGAACTAATAGAAAAATTATTACTTAAGCAACCATTATTTGGGAAATGTTATGAACAATTTTCCACCATTTTTTGTTTTTAGACATGATCTTATCCTATAGTCCTGGATAGCCAGGGACCTACTATGTAGCCCAGGATGTCCTCAAACTTATGGTGATCCTCCTGCCTCTGCCTCTTAAATGATAGAATCTGGTGGGAGGCACCACCACCCAATGCGTAACTAAAGTATATGTAGTCACAAACCCAACAGTTGTAATACAGAAATAAGGAACTTGACACCACTGGAATAGCTTGTAGCTCCTCTAATAATCATGGTTTTTCATAGTAATTAAAGAATTTGTCATGAATCTTGTCTTACTTCCTTTTCTGTTGCTGTGAACAGACACCATGACTGAGGCAACTTATAAAAGAAAGCATTTAATTAAAGACTTGCTTACAGTTTCAGAGGGTGAGTCCATGATCATCATGGTGGAAAGCATGGCAGTAGGCAGGCAGGAAGACAGGGGCTGGAGCAATAGCCGAGAACTTACATCTTATCCGAAGAGGGAGGCAGAGGGAGAATGAGACTGGGTCTGGTCTTGTGAGCTTTTGAAACCTCAAAGTCCACTCGCTTCCCCCATGAGATACCTCCTCCATCAAAGCCACGCCTCCTAGTCCTTTCTAAACCTTCCACCAATTGGGAACCAAATATTCAAATATAAGAGCCTAGGGGAACCATTCTCATTCAAACCACTGAAGGTGTTGAGCTCAAGTTCTGGCACATGAGGTGAGTGATGATGTACTCACAGCCACATTCTTACTTAGCTTTAGACTGACTCTCACCCCGACATATTTCTTCTCATTCACTTTCATCAACACAGCTCAAATTCGTAAGAGGACAATTGCTTCTGAAGTTTTTGCATTAAATGGTGTACCAGGTAATCAGAAAAGTCACCAGAAGTGAAGAAAATGTGTTTTTAATTTAAAAACGTGCATCCATGTGAAAGCGTTCATGTGGCAATATTTAAAGTTCACATCCAAACTTTCAGACACTGCATGTCTGCATGTGGGACAGCAGCACTCTGGTGTGCTGCGCATGTGGAAGCACTCTACACTCAAACCTGGGGCGCTCTTGCCCACAAAGTAATTGTGTCAGAGGTATCTCTTTAAATAAATAATTTAATAACTGTTACCATGTTTAGGACATCTCTAAGCATGTGACCTCCTCTGGGTTTTGGTTCTACCACATAACAAGCTTTTGAAAGTACACTGGTTTAAAAAAACACACACAAACTATTTCAAACATCAAGATAAGCTAAATCTTTCACAAATACACACTTTTACTTGGAATTAATGCCTCAAATAAAAACCAACACATTTCTTCATACCTTTTTTGACACACCAAAATTTGGGGCAAAAGTCAAATTACCATCAGAGGAAAACCATTCCTGTGTAAACACAGGGTAATTTGGGTTGGTTTTCAAGTTAGATCAATAACCTTGTGATTCAAGAGCATTTTAGAGATTATCTTGTCTATAAGAGTGCACACAGCTTCAGACTCATGCTTGGCATACCATAGCATGCTGCAGAAATAGAATGTCACACTTACATGGAATGCAGCTTATGAGTTAACCTCCCAAATAATCAAGCTCCATAAATTCACACCTTTTCTGAGGAAAATAAAAGTAGTTTGACGACTGAAGTTATACTTCATTTTCCTTTGTCCTATTCAAAGAAGAAGATGCCTCAGTGGTCTCAATGTTTTCACAGTTGAGCCTGTGAGAATATCAGTTCTGGTCTCCCACTTTGGAAAGAGTGTTGTGGTACATAACACAAGTTCACATCAGATTGCAAGACAGTGGATATTTGGTCTTAGAAAAAGTAATTCAGATAATCAGTAGTTTTTTTTTTTTTTTAAGCCATTGGAAAACAGCTTGTTTGTCCTGAAATTTTAACTTTTAAATTCCATGACCAGAATTTTAGTATAGAATCTTAAACATCTAATGAGTTATCTTAATTTCACTTCAGCTCATGGTAACATCTATTAAATAAGGTCAAGTTTGTAGTATTGACGTTAGCATTCTTTGCAAAGCTTAAAAATGTAAGCTCTCGGGTCTTAAAGGGTTTAATTTTAAATCATGAAAATTATAGTTTCAAATGTGAACGTCAATGTTCCTCTGGTGCCTTTAAAAGCTAATGTAAGACACTTGCTTCAAACATTTCCCCTTTAGCACTGTAACCTGGCTAACTGCTGACATGGAATCCTTTTAAAATACAAGCATCACTTTCCAGTTCCACGCTTTCTCTAAAGAAAAATCTTCCATTCTTGCCCCACATTTCCAGTAGTAAGTAGCAGTAACAGATAAATGAAAAATCACTGATTCGGAACATATATTCTATTACTTCATGTAAGGTGGTTACATTTATTGACAATTCAAATCACCCAGTTTTGTGGAACTGAACAAGTGGACATGCTGTAATTTCTCACAGCAATCATTGTGAATGACTTCCAGGTAGTCTATTTCCCAGATAGCCTACGACAGATGAGCATCCGCTAAGATGATGTCTAAATGTGTAACCAAAATCTGGAGCCACTATGACCGTCCGTTTCTCTTAGTTTTTCATACATAGCGTCATGCCTGAGAGAGGACGAGGGTAAAGCATCAGGTACGGCTCTGTACACCAGCGCACACAAACAGGTGAGACCCATTTCACATGATGTACTCACATAGATTGTTTCTCATCATATCCAGCAATATGAGACTTACCAGAAGTACAACGTACTGCCCTTCCGAGTGCTGATGCTGCAGACGCTCCAACATCAAGGAGATGGACATAGCTGCGGTGTGCTGACTTCCTTGGTTCTTTCAAAGTCAAAGACCAGTAACCATTCCATTTCCTACTCAATTTTCATTTCTTGCAATCACTAATTAAATAATAATATTAACATTGCCAATTTTCATTATCATTACTATCTTTCAGATTTATTTATTTTTAATGCTATGTATAGGAGTGTCTTGCCTGCATATATGTATGAGCCCTACATGAATGCAGGGCCCTTGGAGGCCAGAAGAGGTCATCAGATCCCCTGGTACTGGAATTAGACATAGCTTTGGAGCCACCATGTGGATGCTAGCAATAAAATTCAGACCTCCTACAAGAGAAGCAAGTGTCATTTCTCCATGCCCTCAACTGTATTTTCTAATCTACTTTAATTTTTCCATTACCTCCTGCTCTGCCCACAATTTCATTTCCGGCCAGCTACCTGCTCTATCTCATTTTTTTTTTATTGACATTACAGTCCAGTTAAATTGAAGGGGCAATAAGGCTAACAGCACTTAATCAGAGTCAGGAGAATCTCCCTTGACCGCTACATTGTCTTGCAAAATTAGTCACACTATTAAAATAAATCTGAGTGTCTGTTTTCTCAGAAACAAATGAGCAAAAAACGATATGCCTCAAAAGATTGCTTCAAAGGCAGAGTAAAATGAAAAGAATGTGGGAATAACTATGAACTCCAGGATCTGTATTTAGGACAGTAATCAAGTTTCTAAAATGTTTCTTTGGGTACAAAACAAGCAGGATTTCTGCATGAAAACTGAAGTGGATAGCACTGTAGATTCAAGCCACAGCCAGTACAAGCATTGTCTGGATCCTCCTCCTCTCTGTGGATAATTCTCTTTTTTAAAAAATAAAAGGGTTTTTAATAAATACGCACAATTCTAATTAAAGTTAATTTTTTTTGTGTTAAGATGCTCAAAGTCTGAAAATTTTACATACAGTACTTTATACTTGTCTAACCATGCTTGTTTTCAACCACTGTCATTAAAATACATTTTTTCATATTGAATTTTTTTTTAAACAAACTGTTGTTTTGTACACATGTTTATCTGGCCACTAGCAATGCCGATTATGGATTTCAGGTGCTGCACCTACTGTGCATGGTAAGTGGGCGGAAACAGCACTCCAAGTTGTAATTCTGAGCACCTGACATCAACCCAGGCGCTGCCTTTACTGTTTTGTTTTTTGGGCTTTCTCCCACAAGAAGAATCTCAGACCGCGCGCATCCCCATAGACAGTCCTGTTTTATAGGTGAGCTGGCCTTTCATTGGGCATTAATGGAAGTCATGACTAACCTTGACTAATGCATTTGCCTTTTTTCTTTCAAAAAGTTACCTTATACTTCCTTGACGCTAAAATCATACAAAATACTTTTTGCTGGCTTGCTTTCTCTGCACTCAGCTTAACAGATGGCATGCAGTGAAGAGAGAGTCTCTGAGGCTTTACCTAAAAGTGAACTTAAAACGTGTCCAGGCAAATCAGGGTGAGTCCTTTTCCTTTTGATCTGTTTTCAGCACCGAGTCTTCTCCCAAAATTTTACATAGTTCATTGAGTCTCTGCTGCATTTTGGGAATTCCAGCTAGCTGAGACTCTAACTTCTGCTTCTCTTCACTTAATGTTAAACGGATAGCGGTGTCCAGCTGCTCAAAGCGCCAACCTCCTTCGCCATCAAATTGTAATAAATGAGTGTGGTACTTCCTGCACAATTAAAATGAAATGTTAGTAGCCATAATTTTGAAAAGCCATTTTAGCTATAGAATTTTCTAACTCATGTTCAAAGACAAGTTTTAGTAGAGGTGGATATTCTACATTTGAATTTTAATGTTGCCTGTGGTGGTATTGTGTTCCCCAAAATATTGTGTACTCTAATAAATTTATCTGGGGTCAGAGAACAGACAGCCACTAAATACAAAGGCTAGAAAATGGTGGCACTCACACCTTTAATCCTAGCATTCCAGAGATAGAAATCCCTCTGGATCTCTGTGAGTTCAAGGCCACATTGGAAACAGCCAAGCATGGTGACACACGCCTTTAATCCCAGAAAGCCAGCCTTTAATCCCAGAGAGTGGTGGTAGAAAGCAGAAAGATATATAAGGTGTGAGGACCAGAAACTAGAGGCATTTGGCTGGTTAAGCATGTGGCTGGTTAAGCTTCAGGCTTTCCAGCAGCAGTTCAGCTGAGACCCATTCCGGATGAGGACTCAGAGGCCTCCAGTCTGAGGAGACAAGACCAGCTGAGGATCCCGCGAGGTGAGATAGCTGTGGCTTGTTCTGTCTCTCTGATCTACCAGCATGGACCCCAATAACTGGCCTCGGGTTTGATTTTATTAATAAGAACTTTTAAGATTTCTGCTACAGTTGCCTCAGAAAACACTGTAATTTTTAAAGTCCAAAGTCTTTAGTTTCTAAGAAATTCTTCTTGATGTTACTGAATTTATTTCATAATTCAAGTACATATAATTTATAAAGGGAGACTATTATTGTATTAATTTACCCCCCATAACCCAGTATGTCTTCTGAATCAATAACAGAGCCTTCTTAGAATGGAAGTAAGGACAAAAACTGAGGGAAGACCATACAATTTAAATGATCATATAAAGAAAAACTAAAGAAAACAAAGGAAACACAAAAGCAATGTCTTTGTATGTAATACTATCCTCTGGGATGGATTCCATGTAAATACAGCTTTCTCGGTAATAATAATTTAGAATCACTTTTACATGCCTGCCCCCCAGGAATCTTTTAAAGACATTCTGTTGTTGCCACACAGACTCCTTCTTCTTCCATGGCTCAGCTACATAGGAATTGCAGACAGGTAGAGAGATTTGTATTGAAAGATGGGAGGCAATCCATCTCCTAAGAGAAGGCAACCCCCCTAGCAGAGGACTTGTCGGGTGGGTGAAGTGAGTGCGGCTGGCAGAGCTGTTCCCATGGTGAGTCACCTGTACCTGGTGACTTCGCATAACTGGCTCACAAGTCTTTAGTTTTTCTGTCTTCCTTCAGTTTTTCATCTTATATTTATTTCACCAAATTATTATTTATTATAACTAGCCATCCTTTTCAATCAGCTTCTATCTTACATGTGGATGTTAGCTGTTTAGCTTTCAATAAACAAGCTACAATCCTTATAACCGTAGAGGTTAGGTATGGGGTAAGGGATTCGTAGGGAGGGAAGGAACTCCCAAGGAAGGGGAAATAGAATAGAAAGTTATGGATGGATGGATGGATGGATGGATGGATGGATGGATGGATGGATGGATGGATGGATGGATAAATGGATGGATAAATGGATGGATGGATGGATGGATGGATGGATGGATGGATGGATGAATGGGCTGAATGAGAGGATTAAATGGGGGAAGGGAAGGAAGGGGTGAAGTTGGGAATATGGGAGGAATAGGTGAAACTAGGGCACTTTGAGGAGTATGGAAAGTTATTACAGTAGAAATTTCTTAAAATATATACATCCATGTGAAAGCCATCTAAACAGAAACACCAAGTAATGGGAGAGACAAAGCCCCAACATCAACATCACTTGCCACCAAATGAAACCTCCAGTCCCAGGAACAGAATACATCCAATTGAATTGTTGGCCAAAGAGGCCCCATGGAAACCCATATCCACTTAGGCCATGTTGTTTGGTTGCTATCCACAGATTGATGGTAAGACCCCATTGCTGAAGACAACACTTACATTTGCACAGGGAAGTCAGGCTGGTCTCCACCTGGATCCTTAACTTCTACTGACTAGTGTTCATGGTACTGGAAGGTATTCTGCACACTTGCAGAGGAGAAATTAATACCAATCCAGCTGTAAACCCTGTGATCTACAATGGTGACCTGCCTGCATGTTATGCCTGAGCAATAATGGCATGAATATTGTGGGAGTAACCAAACACTATCTGATTGGATTTAAGGCCCTCTCCATTATTTGGAACCCTTCCCAACAGATGGCCAGGAACCTAAGACTAGATAGGTCATGATCTAGGGGAAAACCAAATGCTACAGATCTGTTATAGAAACTAACAATAAAATCGCTTCTAATGACATTCAGCTATATTCATAGATCAATGACTCACTCACCATCACCACAGAAGCTTCCTCCTGCAGTAGCTGGGAACAGATACAGAGACTCACAGCTGGACAATGTGTGGAGAGTAAGAGACCTTGGAACACTCAATCCTATATGAGATGTCTCCATCAAATCCCCCCCCCCCCCCACCCCAGGTCTCAGGGAACTCTGTAGAAAAGGAGACTGAAAGATTTTAAAAGCCAGAGAGGAGAGAGAACTCTGAGGAGTTGAGGCCTTGTAGATACAACAGGACTGATGCACGTACGAACTTAGAGACTGCCAGCATGTATAGGGCCTGCTAAGGAGGCCTAAGCCAGATGGGGTTCCCATGCTGAGAGAAGTGGACACAAGCCCCCACCTCTATCCCAGAAGCTATTTCCAATAGATAACCACTCACAAAGGAAAAAAAAAAAAACTTTTCTCCAATGGAGTCTCACTGGGGCTACAAACCCCACTTTAGGGCAGGCCCCATGTCCAGCAGTAGATGGCCAACACAGACCAAACCCAGTGATATTCCTGGAGGGGGTTTGTCTAATAATGCTTTCTGTGGTATTTTTGTAAACCTTACAGGTCTTTTGCTGGCTGATATATTGTTGTTTCCTATTTTGCAATTTTATGGGATTTCTGAATGAACCAGCAAAGTTATCCTTTAAGAAAAACAGACAGAACATCCATCCCAGAGTAGGATCCTAGAGGCACCTACCACAGAGAAGGTCTGTGCGTTATGGACAGTAAGGAAATCCCAGCCCCTACAGCAGCCTGAAATATCTTTCCTTCAACATCAATGCTCACAGCACTGGTACATTCATCCAGCAATGCATACTTTGGTCTGAAAGAAAAAAAAAAAAACCAAATAGGTGAGTGAGTTTGCTCTGGAACTGTGTTGTTCTTTGGGCAGCAGTTGTATCCTGACAACCTCAGAGGTGATCAGGAGAATGTGACATCATTGGTCATGGTGGTAAGTGACAAAGCAAAAAGCAGCTGTTTTTTTATTATTTTATTTTTCTGCTTGGTCAGCAACCCAGCCTAGCTTAGTTAATGAGACTAAAGTCAACATGAACACTCTCATTTGATGTTTTCATTTTAGTTTGGAAAATTAGTTTTGATGTTTTTCCCGGACAGTTTTTTACCATGAAATTACTTTTATATATCTATTTTTAATTTTTAATTTTTTTGAGATTATAATTACATCATTTCTCCCTTCCTTTTTTCCTTTCAAGTCCTCCCATATAACCCATCCTGTTCTCTTTCGAATTCCTGGCCTCTAACATCAACTCAGTAGAAACTTCTCATTTTACATAAATAATCACTTAGTATTGTAAGTTGTTTTCTAACACATGTTTGCCGATTAATAGGACCCTGTTACCTGTTCTGGAGATGGTGGTGAAGGCGCTGATAGATAGAGGAGCAAAAGGCGTTTCTAACACCCTATAAGATTGTGAAACCATTTAGTAATAACTGCCCCTTCCCCATGACAACAGTGGAGTTGTTTATTATATATCAAATATTGTTGGTCTCTGTGTCAACTATTGTGATTTTTATCTAGTAGAAAAAGTGAAGAAAAGTATACAAGAGAAAAATTTAGGTAACATTTTCTTTTTGTATGACGCTCTTCTGGGCACTCTGTGTATTGTATTTTGTCTTGCTTTTTAGAGTGCTTTGAACTAGAGAAGATATGCTATTTTGAAATAGAAAAAGTATATTTTATATTCTGTTGTTATAGCAACTTCTAGTCTAAGGAATGTAAGATGAATCATACACTTGTTTTCTTGGCAGGGTTAGACTGTGTGTGTGTGTGTGTGTGTGTGTGTGTGTGTGTGTGTGTTTAAATATACCAAACCACACAGCTGGGACTGAGCACTTACAGAACTAATACTCACAGTGTTAAATGACATCATCTCTTAGATTTTTGGGCTTTTTTGCCCCCTTGCTTTATCGCTAATAGTGTAGGATATGTGAAGGAACAAAGCTATTCCCCTTAAGGCAGGATTTTCCTGGTCATTCTTTAAATATTAAAATTATAAGACTCTCATAAAGTATATTCTATTGTAATGCTTAGTATAATTTCTGGCCAGAGTTCTCTGTTGTCGCCGACTCAGATCTTTCCTATCAAAGCTCAGTATGTATTGTAATCTCCTTGTCATAACCTTATTGTTGACCCTGTGAGGATGGGAAGAAACAAATCCTCAACATCACACTTTTCCTTCACTGTATTTAATTTTCTAATTTATCTGATAATTTTGCAAAAGTGCTGCCTTTTAACCATGTGCTTGTCTCCCTTCATCTCACAGATTTGACCTGAACGTCACTCATTATTACGTTATACCTACTACATTTCACAATCACAAATACCAATTATTCCAAATTACAAGTACTTGAAATGCCAGGTTATCTTATTAACACAGAGAAATAGAAAACTGGTCACATTTGTAATCTACTGCATCACCCTTCACAGGCTGTGTTGCTGATCATATTACTGAGTATTTATGGATGAAACCCAAGCCAATTCACAGAGATGGACTAACAGCTGGTCATAAATGTCAAGCTGCAGTTTGCCCTTGAATCTCACTGGAGAGAGCAGCATTTCAAAACACAACATGAAAAGTCCAGAGGTGGTAAAATTCAGTTCTTTTTTTTTTTAAAAAAGTACTCTCTATTCTCATACTAACAATGTAAAATTAAGTAATACATATATTAAGACAACTATTTTTTTCTCACTAAAAATCACAGCTATACATAAAACTGCATAGTGTATGATTTCATTTAGGTGAGATTATAAAGCAGATAAACCAGAACAGATATGGACATATGTATAATATGAAATATAAAAGGGGATTAAAAGTCATTTCCAGGTTATTAAAAGCATTCTCTATCTTAGTTGAGATGTTGGTTATATAATGTACCTACATTTATAAAAATTATTGAATTATATACTTACAACATATACTTAGTACATACATATTATAACAATGATAATGAACTCAGGCTAACTATTATATAATAGCAAAGAGAGGCATATGATAGCATATGAAACTAAAGGAGGGATATAAATTGGAAATTATGAAACACATGAAGACAATTAAGATTATCATCAACTTGTGTGTACTAAGACCAGGAAGAAATTTATTCAAAATGTTAACAATGTTTTTGACAGCTAATGAGATAGGAAATTTCTAATTCTTTCTATTCATCTATGTTTTCTAAATAAACATATAATTATGATATATTCTTCTAATGATAAATAATATGTGCTATCATCTTATAAACTAAAACATTTGGAGAGTCTAATACCAGAAAAAGTAAGCAAACCTAAAAGTATAAATTTTACACATCTTTAGTAAGATATAATTTTAAAAAATGTCATTCAGTTCCTCTACCTTTGTTTTATTAGATTTATTTACTTACAGTTATTTACTTGTATGTGTGTGAGTGTGTGTATCATGTGATGTGTGGAAGACAGAGGACAATGTGCAGTAGGTGTTGGGCTTCTCATTTCACCATGTGGGTCTAAGGCAGTGGTTCTCAACCTGTGGGCTATGACCCCTTTGGTGGTAGCATATCAAATATCTTTCATATCAGATATTTGTGTTACAATCCATAACAGTAGCAAAATTATAATTATGAAGTGGAAAAAAATAATTTTATGGTGGTGGTGGTGGGGGTCCCACAACATGAGGAACTGTATGAAAGGGTCATAGCATTAGGAAGGTTGAGAACCATTCATTGGTCTAGGCGATCCAAGTCAGGCTGTCATTGGTGGAAGGCACCTTTAGCCACTGAGCCATCTCTCCAATCTCCCAGTCAGATATTATTTAACCTAAGATGGGACTACTCAATTCTGCTGAATACTTTGTCAGTAATGGATCACAGTTTCCTGAACACAGCACACTTACTTATGATAAAACATCCGTGCCATACCCATTCTCTGCTTTTCTCCTCCTGATAGGACATCTTTCCAGTCCATAACAGCATCCCATCCTGAAAACAAACAAACATAAACAAATAAACAAATGCATACATACATACAGTTTATGGATACTTTGTTCATTTGTTACTACTTCTAGTTTGGACAAGCGATTCCTGGCCTGTTCTGATTGAAAACAGGAAGAGCTTTGTGTTTTGGAGATCATATGGATGGATTCCAGAGCCATATGCATGAGTATTTTATTTTAAATATGATATTCTTTAAAGAGTAATAATTATTTCCATTGATAGACATCTTGAAAGAGTTGTAAATACTGGCACTCAGTAACATCCATTTGTTTCTCAGTCTGTTCAAAGGGTTGATGTACATATGCTGATTTTCGAGGGTAGTGGGAGAAGAGATTTAACAATTTGCATAGGACAAACAATTTGCATAGGACATTCATCAAGGCCTAAAACAGTGTGGGAGGAGCTAATTTAAACAGTTCCCACATGCCTGGTATTTTATGCAAGTCTTTTCACTCTTCTGCAGCTTGCAAGATAGCTGGTTTTATTTGCATTTTACAAGTGGGGCATGCAGAATTCATGGAGCAATAGACACTTCTGAGTTTAGAGTTATCTATCAGATTAGAGCTAGGGTTTATATTTAGGTTTATTTAATGTTTTCACAGTTGGTGCAGCCTATCTGTTAAAACTTCTTAATTACTGATTGTTTGACATTCATTTACAATGCGAGCTTCTAATTTTAAAATTAAGGGATATATATGAAAACTATTTTTCATATTTAATGAAAATAATATCAGAAAAATTTAAATGAAAGCCCAAATTTCAGAATGGCATATATTATGGCTACCCTTCTGAAAATGTGCACACATGTGTCAGACACACATCTAGGAGTGGTATTATGAGAGTTTTGTTTTTCAAGTCAACACATTTGAAATATTTGAATATTTTTATGACTATTTGACATAATTAATTAGAAAATATTACTTAAGAACAAAACCAAGGTCTACTTTTTTCAGACTCCAATTTTCAGAGAAGAAAATGACTGTCCAAACTTGACAATACTGAAGGCAACATTTCCACATCTTCAGTGTTTGTGGTTTAATTATCCCCTTGGAGAAGGGCCACACTCTATGCATCCACCATTCTCTCTCAGCTGCCTTTCATAATTAATAAAATTTCTAAGTAGAGTTGGTTATTGGTTACAGGAAGAAGTAGAGTCTTTGTTCTAACTCTGGGTGCCTGAAGAAAGAAATTAGCAGATCAATTATTTAATTCTTTTGCTAATCAAAAGGAAGAATATGGATTTATCATTTTTTCCCCCCTCTGGAGCTGAGGACCGAAAACAGGGTTCTACCACTGAGCTAAATCCCAAACCCTGGATTTATCTTTTAGCATGCAAAAGGTCAGAGTCTTGGACAGAATAATGTATGTTAATTGACAAATTAGAATTCATCTTTATTTTTTAAACATTTTCCTCTTTTAGAAATTACTGTAAAGTGTACTACAAGTTTTAGAAAGTGTAAAATTAAAGCAGGCACAGTGAAACTTGCCTGTAATCCTGGGTCAGCAGCAAGGGCAGGAGTGTCAGCAGTTGGGGCCAGCCTGTGCTACACCCTGATACTCTGTCTCAGAAAAAAAAAGCCTGAAGTTATAAATGAGAAATTAAACAGAGTACAGAGATAATAATTAGAGAGAACAAGGATGGAAAGACGGTTTTAAGGATATATCTTCAGTTATTTTAAAAATTTTAATCATGTGAAAGTGTTCTCTCCTCCAAAACTTAAAAAGGAAAAACAATAGAAGTGACATATAAAACAGTGCAGGGCGGGGAATAATCTAGGAGTTCGGGGAGGTGGAGAAATGAGAGAGAAGAAAACATAATACTGAGGCCAGAGAGATGGTCCTGTGGTTCAGAGCATGCGCTGTTCTTGCAGAGGACCCGAGTTTGATTCCCAGCACCCATGGCAAGTGGCTCACAAACACTTATAACTTCAGCTAAGGGGTTGGAGATTTAGCTCAGTGGTAGAGCGCTTGCCTAGCAAGCACAAGGCCCTGGGTTCAGTCCTCAGCTCTGGTCTGAGGGAAAAAAAAAGTCAAACTATAACTTCAGCTCCAAGGGATCCAACACTCTCTTCTGGCTCCCTAGGCACCTGTACTCAACTAGCCTTACCTCACAAAGTATATACACAAAAGTAGAAAGGAATCTGTAAACAATAATCAATAGAGTAGCATCTAGAGTGTAACATTATTTCCCACTGACAACAATCAGTCAGCATCTTCAGAGGGATCACTCTTTCATTTCCTTGAGTAAATGCCTAGAAATTATTTAAAAATAGATCCTTATAAGATTATATTACAAGACCCCTCAAAATGCCAGCTTGATCCTGGGGAAAACTGTTGAAATCATAATTTTATGTGTCCAAACTTGATAGCACTTATGAAATGAAAGTGAGGACTTGAGGAACAGATTTAGATGGCAGCGCTATAAAGGATTCTCTGGTGAGAATGATTTGTTCCCTGAACTGAGAAACAATGTTTTCAGTCGAGGGAGAGTTAATTTTTACATATTTTAATAAATTGTACCCTTTGTTCTACTGAACCCAGAGGGCTCCATCAGCATCCTTGGCAACAGCCATGATGCCTGATGCTCATTCACTGAGACTAAGACAGCTAAGAAGAACATCATTCCCCTGCTTCTTGAAGATGTATAAGCTTTGCATTTATGTCTGTTTGTTTTCATTCTACTCTTTTCTATTTTGAAACCTACTTATGGGAATGAAATGTAGGATGTACCTCCATTCTTTGCTAAGCCAAGAATTAGCTAATCTAAATAATTCCAATGGGGAGTTATATACTAGTAAGTAGAAGTATTTTCCTGCATTGCTTGGTGGTTCTCAACCTGTGGGTCATGACCCATTGGAGGTTGCATAGTAGATATCCTGCATATCAGATATTTACATTACAATTCATAACAGTAGCAAAATTACAGTTATGAAGTAGCAATGAGAATAATGTTATGGTTGGGATGGGTCACCACAACATGTGGAACTGTATCAAAGGGTCTCAGCATTAGGAAGGCTGAGAACCACTGCCTTAGATGCCTCATGTTTAGAGATTAAGTAAAACTAGTTTCTTAGGAAAGATATATTTATGTGAGATGACATAACAGTTCTTATGTCTAAAAAGCTAAGAGACATACTGTGTGCTGTATGCTGTACGACAAGAGGACACAGGCCATGCCTAGTGTTGAACATGGTCTTTCAAAGTTAAATCTGTGTTTGAATTCTGTTCTACCATCTGTTATGGGAATTACTGTAAAGTAACCGCCCCGAATTTAATCTGTACAATGGAGATAGCAATGCATCATCAATGGACTTCCATGAACATTGAAAGAAACAATAGGTACTTGTTTGAACATGGTATATTCTGGGCAGCAAATACTTAACAAACCATAACTGTTGCTATTATATTACTAAAGTCCAGGTACTCCTTTCTTTTATTTATGGGTAAAAGAACAAACAAAATTTGTTATGTATCCAAGGAAAAGGGGTATAAACCTCTAGGCTTGAAACTTAAAAATAGTTCTAGAACATCCTGACTTCTAAAGAATACTAGAATTTTTGTGTTTATTTTCAATTTCTATTTAATCATGGAATTCCAAACTTCATTAGTTTGCCCATAATATGTAGAATCTATACTGTTAAAATATTTTGAAATTGGGAAGGGATTGACCATCTGATGCTAAAGGAAAAATCTACTTTCCTCAGAGGGCAGACATCATAAATAGAAACACAGTCATAGCTTTTTTGCCTGCTTTATTTACTTATTGGAGGGATTAGCTCACTATTCATGTTTACTTGTTACACATCTGCCACCACAGTAATACAGCACAGAGAGTTTCATTTAATATTCACAGAAGCCTTGAAAAAAAAAGAAAAAAAATGATTCATCATTTTACCATTGAAGACAAAGAGAGCTATGCTAACTAGGATTTGTCACTCTGAATAAAAGTCCATATTCTCAGGTATTGTCATATACGGCTCCCCCCCCCCAATAATGTAATTAGGCTGGGGAAGAAAAGCATAAAATCTATGCATGTACAACTCAACCTAGACTTCTGACTTGCTTTTTAAGTAATTTTCTGGGCTACTAAATCATATGACTTACCAAATAGTTGAGAGAGTAACTTTTAGGAAATAGTTGGATTAAAAACTCATATGTATATATATTCCCAATCTTTCATATATGTCTTATTCTAAAGAAACACACAATGAAGAAGTTTTACTTGCTATTTAATCATATATATATATATATATATATATGAAAGATTGTGGGACTGAAGACAAACACGTTATGTGAGATCCACTTTCCAAAATTATATTTAATGTAAACTGAGAGAGCTTGGCAAACAAATAGTTCATCGTAGACTTTACATACATCTAGAACAATGGAGCTATAAGGAATAGTTAATACATGCAAATATCAAGGTCTTTAAACACTAAAGGTGATGTGAAGGTGACTGGTAAAAGTGCAGTGTGCCATATTAGTCACAAGACCGGCAAAGCCAGGGTATCTATAAAGGAAAAAGAAGAAATTCTCCTTATGTACCTATGGTCTAATAATAGCATATGTTCAGAAATCACAGACTTCATACGCGCCTGGGACCGTCATCGCTGTTGTCACCTTGACTAGAGTTGGAGTCGCCCATTATGTAGCACACCCATGTGTCTCAGTGAGCGTGCTTCCAGAGAGGCTTGGCGTACAGAGAAGATACGGTGTGCAAAGCTCAGGAAGGACAAGAGGGAGAGAAGGAGAAAGCCCGGAGCTTTCCCAGGAGAGCACTGTGCTACAGCACACCCTTTACACCATCACAAAGTGACACCTTCAGCAGAAGGAGAAGCCCAGCCCCTGGGCTGTTTCTGATGGGTATTTGGTACCTAGTATAAAACCCAAGCTTATTTATTTAATTAATTGATTTCTTTTTTGAGACAAAGTTTTGATGTATCCCAGGCTCGTCTCACATTTGCTGCATAGGGGAGGGTGACTTTGAGTTCTTGATCTTCCTGCCTCCATGACCCAAGTGTTGAGATTACTGGTGCACATCATCACACACAGACCAAACTTTCTCTGTAAATAAAGTTAAACCACACTTAAAAAAAAAACAAACCACATACTCTACCTCCTTCTCTTTGAACTATGTGGTAGAGGTGGACACTGTGCAGAATGCCTTCCAGGTCTTGGTCAGTGTATCCTTTTTCATGCATGTCATCCACTGAGTCAGGATAAATGACTTGATCACGAAGACTTCCAAGAGACATGTATGGCCTGTAAAACATCAAGCACATGTGAGTCCTGGTGCAAAGGTATGCTAGCTTACCCAGGGTGACGACACCCTGCTGGCTGGAACACACCAGACTTTAAACCCTCAATTTATAGGATTATATTATGTTTCTTGGAAAGACTTCAAAATAATACCTGGTTTATGAAAAAGATACTAAGATATCCATACAGAAAAGCTTTTGTAAGAAACCATTTGATATTTTCTGTAACAAAAATAGTTTGTTTCACCATTGTGATGGGTATTCTTGTTTGTTCACTTGACTAAACCTGGAGCTAACTAAAACCCATGTGTCTGGGTATGCTATCGAGGAGTTCGTTTTCTTAATTAAATCAGTGGAAGTGGGGAGACCCATTCTCAATCCTTTTCTTTTGATCCCACATTTAACCTGGGCCACCCCTTCTGGTGACAGCCTATAGATAGGGCATTGGAGAAGGAAGCTTTTTCTCTTTGCCTGCTTGTCATCACTTCCGTTGGCAAGTCCACTCCCCCACTGGTATTACAGCCTACATCTTGGGATGCCGGCACATACTGAAGACCAGCTAAACCATCCAGCCCTGGACACTGAACAACTGGAATCTTGGACTTCCCATTGGTAGACAGCTGTTGTTGGACTGGCTGGATCACAGCCTGTGAGCCACTCTAATAAATCCCCTTTATGTATTTTTTCTTAATTAAGTCAATATTTATCTGTCTGCCTGTCTGTCCATTTATCTTCATTCTGTCAGTTCTGTTCATTTAGAAAACCCTGACTAGCATAGCCGTATTTAATAAAGATTGTTTCTGTACATTTAAAATTATTTGCATTAAACAGAAAACTTGGAGTTCTGACAGCAATGTAGACAAACAAACTGAAAGACGTAATATTATTAATAATAAAATGTAAATTAATATGCCTGGGTTTTCTTGTTTATCAGATTAGCAAAAAAAAAAAAAAATCCAACAGCTTGATAATTCAGTCAGCTGATGGGCCCATGGGAAAAACAGATGTTTCCAAAAAATGGTGAAAATCCAACCTCCTTGGAGGAAATCTGGCAAATTGACATGTCATTTGCCTTTTGACCTACTTCTGGGAATTTTCTCGGAGGATATGCTCCTAAAAATGTCAAAAAGGAAAACTTGCCTAAGTTTACCCATGACAGTGCCATTTGTAGTCTCAGAATATCCAAAACCAAGTTTAAGGACCAGATGGAGAGAATCCTTGAATCAACTGTCTGCACCTACGATGAGGACTTCTATCTGTACCTACTATGAGGCACTAAAGAGTCCAGGCAGGTACACATGGAGTAAAACAGAGTGAGTTCTGTGATCATCATTCACTGAAAAGGAAAAGGTGAAAGTGGACCTAGATCAGGATGTCTCACCACAGCCCTGACTCACTGACTGATGGATGACTTGTCCTTGCCAATGGCATCCTGTTCAGGGAAGGTTAGTGGCATACCTGGTCTCTATCCACTAGATGTCAGCAGCATCTCCTCAAACATGATTTTAAAAGTTGTCTACACGTCTCCACAAGGGACAAATACCCCTAGGTTACAAAGCTGTCCCCAGCTGAGAAACACTGGTAGACAGTATATTACCTTTTATGAAAAGAAGATGAAGGATGATATAAATACACGCATTTGGTTACACCTACAGAAGGAAACAGAAAAAGCAAGCCAGAACCTCATGAAAAGGTCACCCAAGGTGGTGATATGGATAGAGTAAACATGCTCTCTAAACATTTTTTTCTTTCTTTTTCTTTTCCTTCCTTCCTTCCTTCCTTCCTTCCTTCCTTCCTTCCTTCCTTCCTTCCTTCCTTCTCTCTCTCTCTCTCTCTCTCTCTCTCTCTCTCTCTCTCTCTCTCTCTCTCTCTCCCTCTCCCCCCTCCTGTTTTTTTTTGAGACAGGGTCTTACTATGTAGCTCTGGCTGTCCCAGAAGACTGTCTTTGTCTTTGTAGGCCAGGCTGGCCTTGAACTCACAGAGATCTACCTGCCTCTGCCTCCCAGTGCTGGGGTTAAAGATGTGCACCACATCCTTTCTATACAAGCTTTGACTTTATAGTTATGTTAAAATGTTACTATTTAATGAATAACATCAAAGAATTAACTAAAATTAATTGAAAAGCAAGGAACTGGATGTTGTTTATAACTATCAAATAGATAACATGACCCCAAAAGAGAGGAGGAAAAAGGATAGGAATGGAATTAATTAACGTAAGTAATATTGGCTACATAGTTTCAATTCATTATAAAATGATTAAAAACAGTTTGCTAACTCCACTCTCCTCTGGACTAGTGGAAGGCCATCCTTTCAAATGAGCAGATCATGTCGGCAATAAAGTGGGTTTCAACAGCAAGTATTTTTACCTACTGCATCATCTTCTCGGCCTTCCCCTTCAGCTTTCACACCAAGTGTAAGCTGATTCTATCTTACTCTGCAAGTCTCAAACTATGAGATAATGACTCTTCATGTATTCAAACCATCAGTATTTCAGTGACTTGTGACGGCAGCAGTGGACACTAACACAGGCAGGGACTCCGCACACCATACACAACTGGAGTGGTTTCGTGGGGGACACCAGGTCATCCGAGCTAAAGGGCCTGTCTTATACAGACAGCAAGCACTAGGTGCTGTGGCGTGGCAGCTAAAAGTGCTGGCTGCTCTTACAGAGGACCCACATTTGGTTCCCAGCACCCACATGGCAGCTCACAACTGTCTGTAAGTTCCAGTGGATCCAATACTTTCTTCTCATTTCCATGGGCACCAGTTATCACATGGTGCATAGAAATACATGCAGGCAAAACACTTACACACATCTAAAGATATTTAAAAAAATTACACCAGCCCTGTGTGTTTGACTGAAGAGAAAAGCTTTAAATACAAAACATGCTTTACAGACCAAATGTCCACCTATTTTTTTCACAGTATTCACAAAGTATTTCTGTGAGGGACACATAATGCATAATTGTTTTGTAATATATTTAATTATTATTTGAAATAAAAATGTTTGTTTTCAACTACACACACACACACACACACACACACACACACACACACAGATCTTTATAAATACAAAGAACCACTTAAGTATTTTTGTTTAACTTGGCATGTGATTCAAATTTCGTATCAGCCTTTAATTTCTATAATTCAATGGTTTCCAACACATCCACAAGCTCAGGTGACCATCATCCCCAACTTGAGAATACTTTTCTTGGCTCCTACCTCCAGAAGCCCCGTAGCGACCATCACCCCCAACTTGAGAATACTTTTCTTGGCTCCTACCTCCAGAAGCCCCGTAGCCAGGATCAGATGCTATCTGTCTGCTCCTTGTAACCAGCCTGTTTCCTGTCTCCATGGATTTGCCTGTTCTGGGTATGCCAAATACACAGTCTCACACGATATGTGCTCTTTTGTGATTGGCATCTCTTTAATGGCAAAATGTTTTCAGGTTCATGTGTGTTTTAGAATGTGCCATATTCCTTTTTAGAGACGAATGCTATTATGATGTTGTATTGTAGGGGTATGCCACATTGGATTCATCCATCCATCTCTTGAAGGATATTTCATTGTTTCCTACTTTGGGGCATTATGCATACTGAGTATAAACAAGTAAATGGAACTGTGGGGGCAAAGAACTTTCTAAGGAACTGCCAGGCCATTTTCCAAAATGGTCGAACCATTTCCAGTCTCATTTCCATACATTTAAGGCTTCTCCTTCAGCCCTCTTTCCTTTCCCTTTCCATTCTACCCCCTTTTTCTTCAAGCAGAATACAGTCTGTGTTCATTTACTTACACACAGCACCTTAAGCAATCACAAACGGAATTACCTTAAATTCACATCTACAAATTGTAACAGGAGCATTGTTACACTGTATGAAGTAGGGCCACTGAACGGCTGTCACAAGGTGCTCAGTAACTATTCAGGACCTTAGGAAAGGGAATGTTGACTGACTTTACATTGATACCAGCTCCAACTTAACACATATCAGTAGGTGCAGAGCTCCTTCCAACCCTTAGCATAAAGCACAGATATTGATTCGAAGAGCAGACCTGTCACACGGCTCAGTCAAGACTGCAAGGGCAAAAATACACGTATGCATCCAGGCTATGGGTACCTCTAAAGGCTCTGCCATGCACCCTGACAAAGGGCTAGGATTTGATGACGTCATCATTTCCATCTGCAGTTCAGTGTCCAGGGCTTTATGCTATACAGTGTAGAGTAATGGTTGTGATAACGGGCTTTAGAGAGGTGGTTCTGGGATATACTCCTGATCTCACTACTGTAGTACTGTTACTCAACTCTGAACTTGACCTAATTCGTTCGTGAAGTCACTTATTTTATTCCATTTATCATGAGTGTGGAACGAAACAGCTAAGTGAAGTAATGTGGTAAGATTGTTTACTATAACGTAGGGGCAAAGGAAGGTACTCAGTAAATGATCATCATTTAAACAAGTTCATTTCTCTTGCGTTCTCTAAGGGAAAACAAAGCTCGGAGGAGTGTCTGATGGAGCACTTGTCTGTCACGCAGTGCAGGCTGATCCCCAGCAATGAAAACAAAAATCTTGTAGAAAAGAACAAGTAAAAACAAAATAATTTGCTTTCATCAGATAATTGTCTGCTTTTTTCCCCATAATAAGTTGTATCATGCTTAATGTGACTGATGAATAACAGGTTTCTGTATAGATATTAAAGATAGATCCTGTGAAGTACTCAAGAAAGTACTTCAAGTTTATCTAGAAGATTTTCTTTGGGCAATATCTAGTTCACTGGTGCAGTTTACAGGGTTTCAAAGGACTCAAAATATTCAGAGTCCTCAGATGCCTCAATTGTTATAAAAGCAGGGGAAACATGGAACTTCATCAAAAGACTTCATACTTATGATTTCTATAGATTTTTCAAAATCAGCTAATTTTCTCTGGTTTACACATAGAAATTTATCTCAAGAGAATTCTTCACTGATGAAGCAAAATAATTATAGCTTTGTAATGCTTCATTTCCTACTCAGTTTTCAAGATGCTAATAGAAATATCTGAAATATAGAAACCTGAAGGAAAATTTGCTTCTCCTGGGAAAGAATTTTAGCAACAAACTGTAATTGTTTTTCTGTGAAATCTTACATCTGTACCTACTTAAAAACCTATTAACTGTCATACTAAAAGTATTTGAGATCAAATCCATCCCCAATAATTATATTTTTATAGTTACTAGTTATTACAAGCATCTTAGATATTTTTAAAATTTCCTTTGTACTTTCATTTTCCTGTGCTAGCACTGAACTATTGGATATTTCTTTTTGATATAACTTATTGTCTATTAGATTCCTCTGGTTTTTGATTATTCTGTATTTGAGACAAAGGAGGAAAGAACAAGAGAGCACAGAAAATCGTAATCTCTATCTTTATGCTCAGAGTTGAACATTTTAAAACTATATAGTTACCTGGACAACAGTGATAAAAAAATTCAACAACATTTTTATCTCTAAGGCATGGGAGTCTAAAGTTGAAGAGTAATATGTCATTTCTCCAGCTGTGGCCAAACAGTAAGAACGTGGAACAAACCATGAATATTCACTGTCAATCATCGGAAAATGCACAGGTTGAACCAATCATGTTGTCAGGCTTTGTGTGTGTGTGTGTGTGTGTGCACAGAAAGCTCAACATTTGAGTTCTGAATGCATAAAATCATTCCTCACATTCTTATGTTTTTTAGAAAAACAGATACTTAACTCAAAACAGATATTTACATTATGAAAATTGTATCATCTATTTTTTTTTTTTGCATTTAGTGCTTATAAAGTAAGAAATTAGCCTCAAGAACTCTCTTGAGCCCTCATCACTGCCCCAGCAATTTCCTTAAAAAAGAACTGTTAATTGATGGGCATTTATCCATCACAAAGAGGATTAGGCAATATACCCAGTGCAAGTAACAAAATAGACAGATGGTTCATAGTGTAAGACGCGGGGCAGATGGGCAAATTTGCCAATAGACAGGAAATCTGTCAGCCATTCAGTACCGGGGTAAAGCCCAGTGGGAGAGTGTGTGCTCGGCATGCATGAGGCCATGGACTCGACACACGAACCACCCACCCACTGGAAGGTTTGTTTAATTTAATACAATCCTTTGTGGTTTTGTTTTTTGGAGACAGGATTTCCCTGTGTAGCCCTGGCTGGCCTAGAACTCACTCTGTAGACCAGGCTGGCCTCAAACTCAGAGATCTGTCTGCCTCTGCCTCCTGAGTGCTGGGATTAAAGGTGCGTGCACCACCATGCCTGGCTTAATACAATCCTTATGAGTGCAATCTTTCTCTCATTTTCCTTATGTTTTATTTCTCAGACTCAGAGTCAAAGATGGACAGGATTTATACATATTTATACTATATATAGTAAGATATTTGTTAGCACTTCTCTCCTGAGATATTGCTTTCAAGGAAGAATAGTGAGAGCAGGAACATTTGAAATACAAATCCATGCTGGATTTTGCCCAACCATAGACTGTTGCTGAGAAGAGAGTGGGATGTACACAAACGATCCTCTGGGGGTTAACTAACGCAGCATAAAGGGATGAAAAGTCACCACCCTGCCACTCTTCCTTCCCTCCAGGTTCTCCCAAATCCCATATTTCAATATCTCATTTGGATGACTGATGGTGCATTTGAAAGTGTTAATTAGCAAGAAAACTAAATTAGATATACGTAAAGCTGGCTTTGGGGGCCGTGACAGCTGCACACAGAAACTCTCCAAGGGATAAGTAAGAGAGTAATAGGCCACAAATTAGTGAAGAAATGAAAGCAGGAGCAGAGGGCCATAAGCCTATCTTTAGAGGCTTGGGAAGAAGAGAAAACACACTAATAATTGGCAAAACAATTCAGGAGATTCATCCAAGTGGAAGGTGCTTCTTAAAAGTCATGAAAGATGGTCCAGCAAGGGTGACAAGCATCAGGCATCTGCTGGAAAGTGCCAGGGTAGGTTTCCAGGTACTACTGGAGCAAAGCCCCAGCCTCTCTCCATTCACCACACCCCAGAAGGCAAGTGGCTAATGCGCTTTTCAGATGAAACATTCTGTCCTAAAACCAACAGATGCTCCAGTTCTTATATTCTGTCATTGATGAAGACAGGGTGAGGGAAAATAGTTTGGACTCAATTTATGCAGACCAACTCTGTCTTCCTGTACCAAGGCACGGCTTCCCAAAGAATCTGGTTCTTATTATTAGCATTGCTAAAGCATAAGAAGACATCAACTGGGAAAATACTGGGCGATTTCACAATTTCTCAGGAATTCATGTTTCCCAATTTACGAAGTGAGCCAAAGGAGCATTTTTGTTTGGGTCTCTGTGTGTGAAGGTTTGGTCAAAAACCAAGAGTGTGCTTGCTTTTCCCGGGTAGTTTTGTTTTGCTTACTACATAATATAAGAAACCCACTGCCATAAAACCTGCTTCATTTTCACCAGTGAAAGTAGCAACACATTTTGCATTTCATCACTGCATAAAGAGTCCCATCCTCTAAGAAGAAATACTTCGATCACTGTAAAATCTGTTTAATGACTTAGAGAGTTCAAACTTGGGCTTGAGTTCTGCATTGGTTTTTTCTGCCAAACTAGTAGTTAGCTGACATTCCATTGCTAGAGAGTAGCAGAAAAGTTAATCCTAGCAGCCATTTATGGGATGATAAGTTCATTTACTGACACGTATTTTAAAAGGAAGTCATGCTCTTATCTTCTTTTACCTGATAAAAATCTCCTGTGATCATTACAAAACTTACTTGAAAAAAAAATCACTGGCTTTTAGAATACAAGAAATAAATGCTACAATTAGACTTCCTTAGATTACATTTGTGTTTTAAGCAATTGTTAAGCAGAAGTGGGAGGACCATGGCTCTATAAAAATGGTAAGTGTAAATATGATTCCCTGTGCCTCTAGATGCATATAATTAAGGTGAACTAATTTAAAACAATAGTCCTTTAAGAATGAAAATATAGACTACTCCTGCTTATTTTTCTCCTTAAGTAGGTTAGAGTTGACAGTTTTGCTTAGGCAAAAATACATTTCATAAGACAAAATTTCCTAATGATTTCTATTGTAAAACATCGTGGTTAGCTCACTCTGAGGGTAAAGGTTGATTTAGTCACTTTCATAAGCTTGCCCACTGCTTGGAAAACTCTTTTGACTATGTCAAATGTATATTCAAAAGTTGTTTCATTCATACAATATATGAAGCATCTAATGGGTAAAATGTAAACTTTATGTGGTTTCATTTTCATCAAGAATACATTTCTTGATAGACCATTTTTCTCATGGTTCTATACCTTATAGCTTAAGTACAGAATTGAAATAATGCTTCTTGCTATCATTCATTTGTAAAACTTAAACCGAGGCAATAAAACTGAGGTTTCATTTAAAGCTTTCCAAAAGTCAGAAAAGAAGCAGTGTTTATGGTGTCACAGGACGTTTGTGTTGTGTTAAACTCAGGTACCAACAACACTGCTCATATTTAATATTTTCAGCTAACACGTGTCTTCATCTTCCTATACACCAGACAGCAGCCTGCTGCTACCGCCATGAGTCTTTCTTCAGAGAAAATAAATTCACAGAACCTAACTGCTGCTTATGGCCTAAAACTCAGACCAAATGGCAGGATGATAGCACCCTTTACCTACAAAGAAGAGGGAATGAAAGTGTGTGATACTGCCTGGCCTCAATGTGACATGTACTTGCGCTCCAGCCCTACACTTCCATCCTAGGTGCTCTGTTACAGGCCTCAGTGAAGTCCTCTGATCCAGAGGGAACACTGTGTCCTGTCTGCTTAACCCAGGTGATACACAGGGTGACCCAGAGCGTATGCATACAATGCAGTATCTATTGAGCCTGGGTGACATTTGAAGAAATCACTGGGCCACAGGAGCTTATCTTTTCTTTACAGCTGATTTTCTCTCACCCACAATAAATACTCCAAAGTCCCAAGTATATAACTTTGAGTTTAGATACTTCTGTGTTGTTATGAGGGAAGATGGCTACAGATTTTGGCAAAAAACAACGAACTTTTCCATGCTTATCTTATTCTCATTCTTAAAACAATTTTGATTAAGGTAGTGGAGATTATTAATTACCTAGCATAATCACAATAAAGATGCTAAAGGGGCTCTTGGGCATGAATGGATAATTTTAGGATGCATGAGTATATGCAGCACGATGGAAAGACCCAAATAAAACCAAAGCACTATATTTTTATCTGTAAGAAGATCATCTGACATCTAATTCTTCTTTGGATCCATTTATTCTTTCCTAAGACATCTGAAATCTTTGACTATTCTTAGCATCTTGTCAAGGATAAAAACTACAAGAAGTGGCACTGGTTCAGAGTCTATTATGGTCAGAATGGTAAAAGAGAACTCTGGGGACAAGTGAACTCAGGCCCATTTACTCAATAGCTTCTCTCAATAAAAATATCCTTAAATGAGCACAAACCAAAGAGCCTGTGGAATGAGCACAATTCAAGAGCAAAAGCAATCGTCTTCATTTGATATGAAAATGTCTTACCTCTGTGGAATGTAGAACATATGTTGGGGAGGTGGTTTATAAAGGACTCCTTCATACACAGGCCATAGCCCACTTAGGATTCTGAAGAGAGAGCTTTTTCCACAACCATTAGGACCAGTTATCAAAAGATGCATCCCTTCTTCTACCTAAAGTCAGAAAAAAATATATAAGCTGCAATATTTAATAATTATTTCATTTGGTAGCATTTAAAGGTGATTTAAAAACATTGAATCACATGATAATCTTGGATGGTAAAAAAATAAAAATATATATCAGGATTAGAGCATCAGTTTGGCTTTGACTAGTCTCTGAAGCTAAAAGTATCATAAAATAATTAATTGCAAAGAAAATGGATCTTCTTGGAGAGAACACTGACTCTTCAACACTTTGATTGAGGTATTATCAGATTCATATATATGCAAAGGAATGAACTACACAGCAAAGAAGACAAATCGTAAGGTTTAAATTAAAGACATTAAATTTTGTTTTATTTATATTACTATTTAATTAAATTTATATAAATCCAAATGCAACTGAAAATTGAATATAGAATACAGCAGTTATCCAAGGAGCCAGCTGGGGTCTTAATTTTGTACTTTAGTGTCTGAAATGCTACGAAAGCACATAATCAAAGAGAAAAGATTATTCTAATTCTGCTTCGTTCACAGATGTTAAAACATATGCTTATGAAACCAAACCAGATGAAAGCAAGGCCACTGTAGCATAAGGTAAGCTGCAGGTTGAGCTTAAACACATGTAGGTAAGTCCCCATAGCCAGGACTCCAGTTCGGAAGAGTCAGCCAACTACGGACTGAAAATACTTGAAGGAAAAAAAAAAAGGTTGCATCTGTATTGAATATGTACAGAATCTTTTTCTCTATAAAATTTTACATAAAGGATTTGAATGTTATCAGATTTGGATGTCATGGATATCCCTCAAGGATACATAGGAAGACTGTACACACATAAAATATTCACCCTCTCTATATAAAGGGAGATCATATACATGTATTATCCATTGATAAAACAAGTTACTTATTAGTCACTTATCAGAAGCTCCCCTTTTATCATTTGTCTTAGTTATCAATTAAATTTAAACAGTTAGAGTTCGCAACTTCGCATTCCGTTCAGTAGGGCGGGGAGGTCGCCTTCCTATCACACTTGCAGCGCGTCATGAAGAGCAAGGGGCGAGAACACTGCTTACAGACTTGATTTGTTTCATAACCAGTGATGCAGAAGATGAAGATAAGATGAAAAGGCCAGAGCTAGAACTCTGCAGGATGTCTATGCATTTATATTTTCATTGAATGGATACAAATATCTAACTTTCCATTGTACAGAAGACACAATGCCAAAAATCAAAGGCAAAGGTGAATTGCTAGCATTCCAGAAAGTTCTCAGGAGAACGTGCAAAGAGTGAACTCTGACCTGCTTCTTTTCTTCTTTCACTAGACTCCTTGATGATGGATGATTAATTTGAGATGCATGAACTCTCCAAAAGAGTTTTGGAAGATACATGCCATAGTGAGTGGTATATTCATAAAATGTTTTCAAAGGGTCAGTTTCTATCAGGAGTTCTTAAAAATTTGACACTTTTTTTTCAAAGTTGGAAATTGGAAACTTTTTCATATTAATATTTCCTTAACTCACACTTTGGATTTTTTCCAGTAAGTGAAAATTTAATTTTGAAGTTCCAACAAAGGATGAAAATAATTTTCCTTTAATAGTATGTATTTCCAATTAATACTGAAAAAGTATAACTTCCTGTTCTAGAGATATTAGAATTGAAATAGAACTTCCAGAGGCAAATATAATAGCAAACAGTATGTCATAATAACATACACCTTCATAGTATCTTAAAAATCTGTAAGAATCTTCCACTGCATTATTTTTTATTTTCTACAAGAGATTGGGCTCTGTGTTTTCCTTCGTGGCGTGATGGCTCTACATAGGCATCATTAGAGGACAGCAACATTCAGGCCTTGCCACCTGTTTATTAAAGAATTGGAGCAGCAAGAACCAGTTTGATATTACCTACAGTGACAAAGTAACAACACAAACCCAGAACCATATGAAAATCACAGGTTGGTTTTGTTTCCTTGTTTTCCAGGGTGAGAACCAAACTCAAGGCCTTTGCATGCCAGGAAGCTCTCTATCCACTTAGCTTTATCCCCAGCCAAATTGCTAAAGTATTAATAGATAATAAAATATTCCATATTTGCAATGAGTAGCTAATTGGTACTCATGTCATATCCTAGTAATAAAACTGTACTATAGGTTTATAATGGAACAATAAATCATGACCAAACAGTTTCTCTCCAATTTATTAACAGGATTTTCCCTATGCTCAATATATTGCATCCACTCTTTTCAGTAACCTTCATTAATTGCAAATATATGTCTAATAATTAAGACTAAAGATCTATTCCCAAATCTCTAGTATTACGATGTTCATAATTTGATTATGAAGTTTCATTATAGCTCAATGGCCTTCATTATAGTTGGTATGATGTGACTCTGAAATGTCTCCCATAGCACCACGTGTTGATCACCAAGTCTCCAACTTCTGGGACATTTTGGAAGGTGGAGGAAAGCCTCAGACACGGAGGAAGCAGGTCAGTGGGAATGTGTCCTTAGACTGTTCCTTGACCTGTCCCTTTGTGCATTCCCTTCCTCTGCTTGCTATCTCGCTTGCAGTGAGGACCCTCCTTTGCTTCACATTCCTGACGGATGTTCAGCTATTTCTCCGGCCCACAGCTGTGAGACAGCTCAACCCCAAGTAAATGCCCTGAAACCGGGAGCCAACTAAATGCTTCCTCATTTTAAGTTGTCAGTGTACTGACCTAAAGACTTAAGTAACCAACACAACATGTTTGCCACTTTATACTTATTTCCAAAGGTATGTTTCAACTTCACAAAGCTTTAAAGCCACGGCCGGGGAGCCGGTGGTTCGAGCCTTTAATCCCAGCACTTGGGAGGCAGAGGCAGGAGGATCTCTGAGTTTGAAGCCAGCCTGGTCTACCAAGTGAGTTCCAGGAAAGGCTCCAAAGCTACACAGAGAAACCCTGTCTCACAAAACAAAAACAAAAACAAAACAAAACAAAAACCCACCATGGCTGTGGGCTTACAAATTTGTTTTTGTACTTCTTAGTTTTGTAATTATATGTAGAATAATAAATTATTTTCAACAGTATTAAAAACTAAAGTTGAATCCATGAATCTTCTGATTATTTAAAGTAGAAATTAAGTTAGAAAACATGTATTAGTAAAACTGAATTTGATAATGAGCTTTGGGGAAAGGTAGTATTTTTAGAAAGTCTGTAAAAGTATAATCTTACAGATTTCTTAACAACTTTTATAAAAAGTTAAAATTCATTTCCAGATATTAATTTCTGCTCTTTCCTCTTGTTCCCCAAAGCTACCTTGAATGGCTCTCGGTGGTCTGTAATTTGATGTAATTTCTGGCACGAAAGCAGCAAAAATGAAAGTTCTCTTTTCTCTCTGCTTTCTGGGGAAGGTACTGCCTCGGTAACTGAGCTACTGTGCGTACCTTATCGACCTCCCCTCTTCTACACGCTCCTCTCTGAGTGTTTAACATAAAGTACTGGGTTCTGAGTTGTTTTCTACAGTGGGAGGCCAACAATCAGAAGACTCTTGACTAGGATCTTACTTTGAAGTTCAGTCGAGAAGCCACGACTTCTCCTGCTGGTGTGATGATGGGCACATTCTCACAAATGATTCCGTGATCCACGTCAATCACTGTCCCTGGAATCAAGGGGGAGTTGATGTCACAGAGGCTGTCACAAGTTCCTGCTAACTAGCTTGAAGAATAATAGGACAGAATGGGCAAACTCGGTTATAAAGATAATTCACATCTATAAATCATAGGAAAAAATAAGTAGGATGAAGTCATTTTAATATCTATCTGTATTTTTAATCTATTTAGAAAACATTCCCAAGAAAATAATTTTATAATCAAATATAAATATCTTTATCCTTGCAGACATAAACTATATCTGATACAACCTAGCCATACAATTTAGAGTTATTCCGTTGCCCTATTTCCTACAAGGAAAAAATACACTGTTCCAAGAAGGGAATTAAGAAGTGATATATTTTAATACATGACAAACATTTAGAAACACAGAATAAGGAAAAACAATTTGGCACTAGCACTAATTCTATTCATTTGATGAAATCTGAAGAGCAAACAATTCTTTCGGCCACGTGTGCTGTCTCCAGACACAATGCGAACACCATTTCCTGGCTGTAAGTGCCGTATTTCCTTCTTACTGTGCTATTATCGCTGCCACTCAAACTGCAGTACTAACTATAGACTGCTGTTTAAATAATGTTTCCTACTTAAATCCTAGTTTCTTATAACTGTTAAAAGCTGTCTCCTAGAGAAGAAACCTTCAGATCTTTTCGTAAAATGACGCTGAACTCTAAGGAAAATGTGAAAACGCCCAAAGTTAGTTACCTTTAATCGTTAGGGTGTCACTGAGGGGTAGCTCCATGTCACCTCCGCTCTTGCTATGCTTTTCAGGCTCTGGAGTGACATTTCTCTTATAAATGCCTCTTTTCACTTCGTCAAAGACCCAGAACATGTTGTACACTCTAGCAGTGTAGCCTGCTAGTTCAGTGATCTAAAATCAGTATGTAAAGAATGAGTTAATACAGCATGACAGATACCTTTCAACCTTATGTCATATATAAACCTCTTGATTTGTTGCTAAGGATTCTACTTTACTGTATATGACAGGAAAAAATATACATCTGATTACTGAAACAAACAATAGGAAGAACTCATTAGGTACAATAAAGGAAGACATCGGCGTAGAGCTCATGGGAGTTGTAAAACTAAAATATTGATTGACCTTAGTGTTCAAAATGAAATGGGACGCTTTCATAATATGAATGACTCATAAGGGTCTTTTAGTCACATTTCTGACTTGGCCTGTTTAAATAAAATGACGATCCTTCATATTTGTTTTCATTTGTTTGTTTGGGTTTTTGTTTGTTTGTTCAGGGTTTTTCGTTTGTTTGTTTGGGGTTTTATGTTTGTCTGTTTGGGTTTTGTTTGTTTAGGGTTGTTTGTCTGTTTGGGTTTTTGTCTATTTGGGGTTTTTTGTTTGTTTGGGTTTTTGTTTCTTTTTTTTTGTTTTTTGTTTTTTGTCTGGTTGGTATTTTGTTTGTCTGTTTGGGTTTTTGTTTGTTTAGCATTTTTCGTTTGTTTGTTTAGGGTTTTTGTTTGTTTGTTTGGGTTTTTGTTTGTCTGGGTTTTTTGTCTGTTTGGGTTTTTTGTTTGTTTGGGTCTTTTATTTCTTTGTTTAGGTTTTTTGTTTGTCTGTTTGGGTTTTTTGTTTGTTTGTTTAGGGTTTTTGTTTGTCTGAGTTTTTTGTTTGTTTGTTTGGTTGGTTTTTTGTTTGTTTGTATAGGTTTTTTGTTTGTTTCTTTTGTTTTTGAGTCAGTGTCTCACTGTGCAGCGGCTCTGGCTGGCCACAGACTCACAGAGATCTGCCTGCCCTACCTCCTAAGCACCGGGATTAACATTATGTATTACAATTACCATCCCTTTTCTCTTTCTATTTAAAATAGATCATTCATCTGGATATGTAGCTTAGTGATAGAACACTTGTGTAGCATATAAGAAGTCCCGGGTTCACTCCTCCCCAAATACACATAGATATTCAACAATTCAAAACAGAACAATAAAAACAATATGACATTGACTCTAATTCTGTTTCTTAGCTATATATTAAAAAGGCAAGCAACTCATTCAGCCATATTTCCTGTCTCCAAATATAATCCGAAGCAGTTTTCCTAAACACAAGCAGCATCAATAAGCAGGTGTGTTTATGTGCATGTAGATATGAATATCTTAAATAGGAGAAAAGTACTTTTTTGTCTTATTTATAAATGAGTGTTGCTAAGTCAAATGTTGTCAAAGTTCCTGTTTGAGCAGAGGAATATCTGTGCTAGAGGGCACACATTGTGAAAGTGAGCCCAGTGAGAGGCTTCACAGTAGAAATCCCACAATCCAGCTTCTTGTCAGCTAAGTATGGTTTCAATGCTCAGGGAAAACTGTAAATACATGACTTTTTTCTGGATAAGATTATGAGAGAAGGTGAAATAAATTTCTGCTTTAGCCCACAAAGCTCTGTAGAAAGATACTTTCTCTGGTTCTACCAGCTGTCCATCTGGGTTAAAGCCCTGCTGTTTTTCTATTATGCCAGAGCAGCTTGCTACCAGGGGACTGTGAAAGGTGACTTGTCTTATCCGTATCATTTGTCTCACAAAAGAACTGGGAAACTGACACCAATAAGTATGCATGTCACAAAAGATGTCTCGTAACCGTCATATGTAGATTAGCACATGGATGCTGGCAGATGGCTGAGACCTTTGTGCATAAAATGTAAGCTATAATGAATAGGTGTTGGTGCCACGGGCCTTCTACTGAAGAAGAGGCTTGTAATTTGACCATTTATTGATGAATGTTAATGTTATAGCTATCTAAAGGATGACTTTGAAAATGGTATCTGGAAGGGAGTCTTGAGCTGTTAAGTAGAGACAAAGAGAGACATGGTTTAACAAAATATGGATTTAAAAGAAACTTGTGTGTCCTAGTTAGGATTTATACTGCCATGATAAAACACCACAACCAACAGCAACCTGAAGAGGAGAGGGTTTATTTTATCTTACAACTCGTAGGTCACACTCTATCACTGAAGGAAGTCAGGGCAGGGACTCAAGGCAGGAAGCTGGAGGCAGGAACTGAAGCAGAGGCCATGGGGAGTGCTGCTCACAGGCTTGCTCCCATGGCATGCTCAGCCCACTTTCTTATACAGCTCAGGACCACCTGCTCAGAAGTGTCATGCAGCACCGCTCACCCACAGTGACCTAGGTCTTTCCACAACCCACACAATACTCCCCACAGACTTGCCAACAGGCTAATCTTATTGGAGCCATTGTTTCAATTAAGTTTCCCTCTTTCCAGATATGCCCAACTTTGTGTCAGGTTGACAGAGACCAAGCAACCAATTGGGCAAATATAAATATCAGCATGGGAAAAAAAACTCCTAAAATTACAGAGATATTTTTTTTTTTTTAAAAAAAAGCAGGAAGCAATGGGTAAGTAGTCTGGGATGTGTTATATGATATTTTGAATATGTGCTGACAAATAAAGTTTGATTGGAGTCAGGGGGTGGAGTTAGCCACTAGCTAACCAAAATAACCATAGAGGTTTGGAGGACTGTATCTAGATAGGAGACAGGAAGTAGTAAGGCAGGGTTGAGGGAGGATCTTGGCCCTTTTTGGAGGAAGGAATGGAAGAGGTAGGAGGTGACTCGTGGCTGCTCCCCTGCTTCTCTGGCCTTTTAGGCTCTTACCCTGATATCTGACTCCCCAATTTTCATTGATAAAGAATACTTAGTTAAGACTTCAGGGATGGACACTGGAATGGGAAAGGGAATGTCTATAAAAACTAAGAGTTTGCCAGAAGATAAGTAAGTACTTTGGGGCATCAGGGAGTTTGTTGTGGAATGTAGAATCCCAAATAAGAAGGAGCCTCTGCTCCCCTGCAGCTGGTGGAGAAGGGATGATGAGTTGTTCACTCACAGTAGCACAATGTGCTTTTAAGAACTGAATATTCTTAGATTCAATACATACAAAGTCAAGATAATGACAAATGAAGGCATGTTTATCATTGGAGATAATCTAGAATGGTTAAATGATGGTCCTTCTGTGACTTAGCATGTTTTTATGTGAGATGGGTAAATTATTTTGTCATATTTATTTATTGCTTTTTTTCCTAACACAAGACAGAGTTTTGTTGTGTAGCGCTGGCTGTCCTGGAACTCACTCTGCAAACCAGGCTGGCCCTGAACTCCCAAGAGATCTGCCTGCCTCTACCCACCAAGTACTGGGATAAAAGGCATGTGCTACCACTGCCTGTCATCATTTAATTTTAATAGTAAATATCTTATTGCTTAATATTAAAGTGAACTACTTTTAAAAACTATCCCCAAGATTATGCTCCCAGGTTATTAAAATTACTGTTTGAATTTTTAAAAATTGAGTAGTTTCAATAAGTGGTACCAAACTATTGGTTTTAAGGTGGAAAAAAATTCAATTCAATAAATCAGTTCTGTAATAAACTTAGAAACTTTGAAGCTGTATCATGCACTGTACTTTAATTAAATTAGAAGATAAATTTGCAATAGTACTTGAGCAATTCATATTGTTTTATGATCTGCAAGACTAATTAATAGAATGTTAGAAATACCTGAATTGAATAGTCTTTTTAATCTTAACCCAGTGTTAGCTACAGGTTTTTTTTTTTTTTGTTGTTGTTGTTTTACCATTCTTTTAAAAATACTTCTTAGCTACATTCCTAAGTATTAGAATGAATTCTAGGAATGAAAAGATGAGCATGACATTCCCTGTGATCAGAGAGCTCAGGGTCAGGTACAGGGGAGAGAACCATATTGTGGTAAAGTGACAGAGACAGAGAAGCCCACCCAGGAGCTTCAAAGGCTGCTAGAAGAAGTGGAATCATGAGGTTTTTATGTATTATTGCTGAGACTTCACCAATGAAGGATGAGCAAAGTTTGCAAACATAAAGTGGTATTATTAACTAATGCTGTTGAGCACTGAAATGCACTGACATGAGTATCCCACATTATGAACTTTTAACACCCTGTAAAATCCTTGCTGTCTTCACTCCAATTTACAATGAAGGAAACAGGGATCCAGACGGACAAGGAGCTTGAGGAGATCGTGTGATGTGTAAATGATGAAGTCTGAATGTAGATTAGGCATGGCCACACAAGAGCGATTATTTCTTGTTCTCTTCATTTAAAATCAATTAAAATCATGCTTGTAAACAGAAATAACTGAACACCTCACTTCAGAGTTGCCGCCCTTGATCTCAATTATACTCTTGGCAGTTTTGAAGAGAGAGAGAGAGAGAGAGAGAGAGAGAGAGAGAGAGAGAGAGAGAGAGAGAACTGTTTCTAAAATGTTATGCATACTTCATAATTTACACTTTGCTTTATTTTCAGATGTATTCATATTTTAAGCAAATTTGCAAGAAATTCAAATACCTCTTTGTATGAAGACATAATTCTTTCAATGGCATCAGCACCAGAGGCCAATAAATTTCGGGCAGTGGTAAAGGCTTCTGTCCGATCGCTAACCATAGCCTGCTTTGGGCCATCCTCCAGATCTAAGAGGAAAAAAAGCACAGAAATATTGAGGGATTTTTCTTTTCAAGTAATTGTCTTATTTTATATTAATTAAATTATGGCTAAAATAATAATATTTCACTACTACCAGCAACTTCCCAGAAATATATTAATTATTATATATTATTAAATATAATGAATTTAGGTTTTATTAGAAGTTCTGGCTGAGTGGTGGTGGCAAATGCCTTTGATCTCAGCACTGGGGAGGCAGAGCCAGAAGGATCTCTGTGAGTTCGAGGTCAGCCTGGTCTATAGAGCGAGATCCAGGACAGGCACCAAAACTACACAGAGAAACCCTGTCTCGAAAAACCAAAGTAAACAAACAAACAAACAAACAAACAAACAAATAAATAAAATAAATGAAGTTTTGTTCTACATTATTTATTTAGAACAAGAGTTAGCACAACTCAATCTATAGGCATTAGGCTATTCTCTTTTAGCTTCCTTTAGACCATTTCCGTACCCAACTTTCTGCTACCATCACAACTGTGTAACAAACTCTCCTGACAGTCTCAATAGAATTTCTAAACTGAGGGTCCTGGGACAATGGCTCAGTCAAGCACCTTCTGTGCAAACATGAGGAGGACCTGAGTTTGGATTCCCTGTATACACACACACACACACACACACACACACACACACACACACACACTCACTCTATAAAGGAACCGGGGCGTGGCCATCACGTTAGCACTGGAGGAGGAGGAGAGTCTCTGGAGCTCACTGGCCAGCCAGCATAAATCAATTAGCTCTAGGTTTAAAAAAAAAAGAAGTGGGGGGGAGGGGTTGCTGTTGAGATGGTTCAGTGGGTAAAGTCACTTGCTGCCAAGCCTAATACTGGAGTTTGATCCCCAGAACCTACATGGTAGGAGAACCATCTCCCAAAAGTTGTTTTCTCACCTCCACATACATGATGTGGTACATATGTGCCTGCATTCAGACACAAACACAGACACATACAGAGTAATATATGTATACATGTATGATAATTTTAAATAATAAAAAAAATTATTTTAAAAATTGAAAGCAAATCAACATTAAAAAATAAAGGTGAAGTTATTTCAAGAGATGCCTGACATTGACTTGTGATCTTCACACACATGCACCCACACACCCCATGCATACATACACCCATGTGCATACATGCACAGGCCCATGCAAACATGTACATACACCACATACCCATCCCCTTGCACCAACCTACTAACTAGAATACAAATTAAAAATAATTATGGTCTGGTTCCTATAACAGGAGTTTGAACTAGTCTGTCCCTATAATTTTGGTATTTTCCTCTTTTCTCAAACATTTTCCACCCCATGGTTCAGCTGAATCACTAACATACCCATCTCTGTCAGTCCTTTGGAATGTACACATTTGATTTCTTCTCACTACATAGACCAAACTGACTGAGTCTTGACGTTGTGATCCTCCAGTCTCCGTTCACCTGAGTTCTAGGGTTATGGTTGTGCAGCACGTGCTTGGCTCTAGAAGTTTTGATGATGTATTTAAATGTATAATGGGATGTAGATAACCAACAGAACAATCCTACAGGGTTCTCAACCCGCTACTGACATAGTGAATTGTCTGTGAGCTAAAACCAAGAAAAGGTTTGGATTTTGACCATCTGGCTAACCATCTCAACTAATCACTGGATTTTTATGAATGTGGGTTAAAAGGGGTTTGACCTTTCACTGATCTCCGTTAAGAACAACAAAAACAACAAAAAACTATTTGCACAGATGGACTAGAGGTTGATAAGGAATCATAGCACTGGTGTTGCTTTGGCAGATGAAGGCCTTCTGGGTTTTCTTTATGCTTTTAGCAACAAAGTAAATATTTTCTCACAGTGTGTAACTTTCAAACTACCTTGTTCTTTGGCAGGTACCATGGAAGCAGCGCCAGTAATGATAACCCTGCATGAACCGTTAAGGGCCTGGCCTCTCTGACAAGGCCAGATTCCTTAATGTCAGAGATATAAATCCATGACCTAAAATGCTCACTTATCTTATTTTTCAGGTCAGCACATTCGTTTCTTATGTGAAGAACAGAATCGCCACTAACATGTTTTCTTGTGTATTTTGTCTTTCTCTTAAAAAAAAAAAGAAAGGGGTGCATAGCCTTAAAATAATAAACAGAATAATAATTGAAGACTCCAATGTTTCCACTTCAGTGGTTGGGACATCATGACTGTCAACTTACAGAGCACATCTCAGTGTGGTGGCCGTGGTGCAGGGGGAAAGGCAGGGTACCAGGAGTTGCACAGTGTCTCCCATCCCCAGAGCTCCACCTAACTACACATCCGAATGTAGACAAGCTAGAGGCTCTGAGGCCTTCTTCTGAAGAGAAAAACAGTACATTCTAGAAGTAATTTCGTTTTCAGTGTAAATATCCCGTCCTTACTGTGAATGCTCACTTGGCAGTGTAAAAGCGTGGCCAAGTAGACCTACAACAGCTGCTGCTTACCTTTTCCTCCCTCCAACAGAAGCTATACAGATTCTTTCTCCTAAACAGCCTGACTTCTGACTTCCTAGTCACTTTCATACCCTCGCCTCTTTCAGCAACAGTGATGATATCAGCAAATGCCCCTTCATTATTTTCTATGAGCAGATGCCATACTAAGTTTTACATTAATCCTTACAACAACACTGCTAACTTTCCCTATTTTGGGTATGAGGAATTCGAACCACAAAAAAGTGGAATGACTTTCCCAGAGTCACTTGTAGGCAGGAGAGCTTGCCTTTAAGCTCAAGCACTCTAATCCAGATCCCACAGGCTGGTGACTGTACTAAATGCTGACAAGAACTGGTACCTTGCTGTTTACTACTTAACAAGGACTGTTTCAAAGCACACCAGTACATTATAATTTCACAGCAACTCTGAAAGACAGGTGTTATTATCCATATGGTTAAACTGGGGCCTCTAAATTTAGGTAGTCTTCCCAAGGCTTGGTTAACTGTTACATCCTGCCAAGGATTTCCCTCCTTCTCTTTTTCTATCCCCACCACATATACCCATTCCCCCTATAGATTGCTCATTCTCTTTTCTATTCTGTTTCATACTTTTTAAATTTTTAATCATGCATATGTGTGGGGGCAGGTGGGTATGTGCAAGTGAGGACAGATGCTGCCCACGCAGGCCAGAAAAGGATGAGAGAACCGGAACTAGGGTTACAGGCACCCATGAGGTACTCAACAGGGATGCTGGGAACAGAACTCTAGTTTCCTGTAAGGGCAGCAAGTGCTCTTAACCACTAGCCATGTCTCAAGCCACTGTTTCACTCATTTTCCATCTTCTTATGCCTTAAAACCTATAGTACCGTGCAATTATTTTATCTGTAATGTGAGAGACAATTAAGTGATTAAGTGATTAGACAATATATATATATATATATATATATATATGTATATATATATATATATATATATCTTTCTACATAGCCTTAGTAGTTGTCCTGAAGCTTGACTTATAGACCCTGGATGTCCTGGAACTCACAGAAATACACTTGCTTCTGACTCCAGAGTGCTGGGATTAAAGGCTTGCACCACCACACCTAGGCTTAAATTAAAATTTAAGACTATATTAGAGAATACAACATATAATTTCTATATCTGAAGGTGATGTCAGTATCCGAAAAGAAAATGTTTCACTGAGTGAAATGGTATTTTTCACTTGGTAAGTCACCAGAGGCCAAATATAGTTAGTAGAGTGGGCACACCACACACATACAGCAACCTCAAGTTTACAGACTTCGAAACATTCACTTCTCTTCTGTGAGGATTTTACCTTACCCACCTCTGCAAGATCGTCTTTGGGATGAGCTTTACATGACACTTTGTTTCACTTACGATTCCAACATAAAATGTTCCTTTCAGCTGGTATTGTCTAATTTGTAGGAGTTATTTTTAGACATCCCATTACCTCTTGGTAGGTGAGCTAGTTAGTTTCATAGCATACATGTTTACTTCTTACTAGCCTCAGTGGGGTTAATTTGTCACCATTAATAACTGCATTTTTTTTTCTATTCTGTGTGGATTACACTAGGGTTTTCTAATAAGACCAAACACTGCTAACGGCATTGTATTATAATCTTCTTATGGGGACTTATCTCTAACGTACATTAAACATGGAACTTTCTGATGGATGTTATTAGCTTAAGAGATAACTTTTTAATTTATATTTTGCCAAATTCCTTAGCAAAGTCGGTCTTAAGAGCATATGCTCGTCAGTGTCTTCCTTGTCACTGTAGATGCTCCTTTGGAAAGGTTGTTATGTCTTGAACACTATTACGAAGAACACCTTTCCCAATACAAATCTACAATTATTTCTTGGTAAATCTGAACACATCCAAGCACTAACAATCAATGCTCAGAGCTCTGATTTGGCAATTCACTCGTGGAGTGTATTCATTATGTGTTTAGTGCTGATCACAAAGAAGGACCGACAAGTCACAGCTCACTGACATGACTATATTTAGCTTAGTAATGAGTCAAATTTGGCAACGTTTAAATGAAAATTTACAATATTTTGTAAATAATTTGCAATGCTTCATGTGATGCAAATGCTATGGAAACAGTTGTTACACTGAATTCTCTAGGGAATAAAAAGTACGTGTTGATTATGGACAGATTTTTCTCTGTGTTGGCTTTGGACTCCCATGTCTGCTCTGTGCTTGGCTGAATCCTTGAATGTGGATCTATGGAAGCTGAGCTGTAACTGCCATCCTGTCATTCCTAACAGTAAAGATCCAAGCTTTCATACAGGAAGAGCATTGTAACATTGTCCTTCTTGCCCATCTCTTCCTTAGCTATACCAAAAGAAGAATAGTTGCTTTAAAAAAAAAAAAAAAAAAGAACTGTTCAGAGAAAGAGGACAGAATTAGATAGCTGTGGCTTTGATATGCACTGCCCTGGCCACCACAAACATCACCAAATCATGTCATGGGAACGTCTCTATGTAAACAGAGAACCCATTCCATGACACTTCCATGCACCCTAAAACAACATTCCTGCTTATCTAACGTAAGCCAACCAACTTCCAAATCACAAATGAGGGCAAATTAAGTTACAGAAAATTTATATGCTTGATCCATAAGATGTTAAGGACAAAACATGAGGTGAGCTTATGTCATACCCTTTTTGAAGGAATATGTTCTTTTTGTGGTTAACTATAAACTGAAAAGTCATTGGGCAATGTAATTAAAATTATTCCAGATAGACTTCCAGAGACATTATGTCAGAGACCTCCTTGGCAAGGTCCTTTGAGCCGCCTGTTGCTCCTTTCATACTTATGGTCTCATTATTGAACACTGAAAACTGCCACTGTTTCTTAGTACAAATAACTACAGACAGTGCCTGTCTACACAGCCACACATGGGACATTAAATGACATCTTAAAGGGAAACAATGTTAAGCATCTAGTTAAGATTAAGTATGGATGTTATTACCACCATCTGCAAAGCCTGTTGCAGTGATAATGGGTATTGCCACCATAATCAGTCCACAGCTGCTCCACACATATTTCATCAAGAACTGTTCTATCATGATGTACCACAAACGCTTGGATAAAATAAGGTTCATCTGGGAAGCTAAAGCCTTGTAACTTTTCTGCAGTTGCTTCATTTCTACCTGAAAAGAGAAAAATATAATAATTAATCCTGCATGAACTACGGGAATAAATTCTGTAATTACTCAAAGATTCTCTTTAATGATATGAGTATACTATTTTGCTTTATTTAGCATAGCCATTGTTGCTACATTTCTATAACCAATAAATGTAACTAGATATTAGAATTAGTCATTATATAGTTTAGCCTACACTGGTGTTATTTTTTAAAACGTGGTATTCAGTAAATATTGTTTGAAATGCACATGAGTGGGATGGGGTAAAGTTCAGTGTTAGAACACTTGCCTGTTGCTGACATACATGAGGCCTGAGGTACAATTCTCAACAGTTAACTCTCTTTCTGTGTGTGTGTGTGAGAGAGAGGGGGGGGGGAAGATGGGGAAGACAGACAGACAGACACAGAGAGCCCCCCCCACACACACACACAGTGAGAGAGAGGGGTGGGGTGGGGAGGAAGGCAGTTAGACAGATATAAAATGAACAGAGACAGAGAGATACATAATTTGATTTTAAATTTTAAGATGTTAAAATTAAATAATATTCTATAAATATATGGGTGAGCAATGTTAAACCCATCATCATTCTTGAGGATACTAAAATTATCCAAAAACAAACAAAACATGTATAATTAGACTTTCCCAGATTTTATCTTTTAAGCAAAGAATCCACTAATTTCCACTGAGTTCAATAATTCAAAAATAACAAATCACCACAATTCATACAACACCCAAGGTCAATTTCAAGTGAGAATAGAGGTCCTAAATTAGTTTAAACTTTTCTTTGGGTTGGTTCTGCTGTTGAAAAGAAACAATGATAATTCTTGATGCTTTAAAAAGTACACCACTCTGTTTGGTAATTAAAAATATATCTTTAAGGACTTCATTATACATTGTCAAACCACTAATATTAAGATTTCATATGTTCCACCCCCAAATTTATATCATATTCTACATTCTGAAGCAACTATTACATGCTACAATTTTATGTACCTGGGCTAATTATTTTCCTGTTGAAGACCCATAACATTTAAAAATACCACCCTAGTGCATCTACCTACTTCTGTCCTCCTAATCTTTGTTTTCACTTCTCTACTATGCAAAATGTAATTATCTCTGTCAAAAGTACATGTTCAACATGAACTAAAAGTAAAGGAAATGCCATTTCATTAGACACCCCTCTGCATTTCTTACATTTTAGGACACTTGCTCATTGATCAGTCTTGAAAAAATGGTCCAAACTGTTCTCTCTTTGAAAGCAGTTTCCCTCTCTTGGACACAAAAGAACAAAGAATACTACCCTAACACCTCCATCTCAATCCAAAGAAGTTTACTCTTAGTTCCCAAATATGCATTTCCTTCACATGTACAGAGCCACTCACCAAGCTAGTATTTAATTTACCAGGAAATGCCTTTGAGGCCATTTCAGTTATATTTGAGTAACAGGCTCTGTAGGCTCTTTTTTTTTTTTTTTTTTTTTTTTAAAGAGTCTGAACTTTTATTCTCATGAAACTTCATAAAGTTTGGGCTCTTTAATTCTTTAACAGTTGGTGATTTAAAGGGCTCATGCAATATATATATTAGAACCAGTTTAGCTACCAGAGGACTCTGAAATGCCCAGAAAGTGGGCCTGTCAATAGGACAACAGATGGTATCTAGCCGTGCAGCGGCTGCTTGGACCGGCTCACGTTTCACCCGTTGCTTTAATTCATCCGTTGTCTTACCTTATGTCCTCTGTAGAAGGCAATTTCTTCCACGTTGGCTATAATCCTGGAGTGAACATAGCGCAGGTAGCCTTTCCTATGAGCTTCTTCAGCCACCAGGGTACCAAATTTGGGAGAGCAAGCTTTCAGCACTTTTGCAGTGGCGTACACCGCAAGTCCCGCTAACAGCGTGGGCCCGATTGGGCTTGCTCCTCTCGATGTAGCAGTCCGGATGAGGGTATAGGAAGTTAGGATTACATCTAAAATAGGTTTGGTAAGGTTGGAATACAAGTGAGCCACGGACTGTGAGAACATCATAATGTCTTCAGTAAGGGACTGGTCAGGGTTTGCCAGCCTCCCATCCATGTTTATCACCTTATAATAGGTCTGATTCGCAAAATAGGTTTCATAGGCATGGTCTACTAAGCGAGTTCTGAAGGCCAAAGCCAGTTTGCACTCCAGGTACCTTATAGCACTGTTGACAAAGGTGGCGGGGATGGCAATCATAAGCCACTTGATTAGTTTGATGATGAAACTCCGAGGCTTCTTTTCCACTATGCTTTTCACGATTTTCCCATCCAGACCAGCCACATAGATAGAAAGAAATGTTCTTGAGATGAGAGCCACCGAATGGAGGCAGAGCCACCCTGTCTCAGTGGTCACAAGTTTTGGAAAGAGGATTTTCCGAAGTTCTAGTAGCTGTTTGAAAAAATCTGCATTCAGTCCCGGCGCAGGCTTTTTACAGACGATCTCTGTGCAATGCAGTATTTCTCTGTTCTCTGCAGGCGGGTAAGCTGCTGCTGCTGCTGCTTCCTTCCTGTGGCCAGGCTGCTTCAAACGCTTGCCAATGATGGGATAGAGGGTTTTCAGAGCATATGCCGCAGCCACCAGGCAGGCAGCCCTCTTAGCAGCACCGGATCTGGTCCATTTCACCCGATAGGCTGCTGCATTTAGCATATGTATCATTTTCCCAGCGACACAAATGAGTTTCTTTTTTAAAAAAAGAATTCGTTTTAAACGTTCATGCTCCGCGGAAAGCCCAGCAAACGTTTCAGAAAGCCCCACTGCCTCCCATGCTCTGCAGCCTGTCTCCTCTACTCTTTATTTTGTTCTTCAGTGACGGATGCAGCAAAGCTCAAACTCCACCGCATCTACTGGGGGCGAGTCTCTCATCAGCTAGAGCTTGCCAGGCTCCTCCCCCCGGGCTCCCTCATTGGCTGCGAGGGCGGTAAGACCCTGGAATCTTCGCCTCTTCCCTTTGAACCTTAGAAATGAAGAGAGCGCCCAAAAGAATTCTATACTTAAACAGGGGTTCAGAGAGTTAAATGTCTATTTCTGGAGAGGTCGAATCAGGTCAGCGGCTGGAGAACAAACCTTGCCTTTGAGCTACTGAGCATGCTCAGCGTCACTTAGAAACACTCAGAAGTTTCAGAATATACATCCCGTCTCTAAGATTTCCAGGCGGACGGGAAGATTGGCAGGAGCTTTCAGGAGCCCAGTGAGAAAGAACCAGAGAGAGGAAGGTGGAGTCACAAGAGGTTTAACTGAACTGGCCGAGTGAAAGGAATCAGACAAGAGAGTGATAAACGCTAGAGCCACAAAACCAAGTAGCAAAGGCAGATCCCTGAGAATGTTTTGTTCTGAAAATGTGTCTCCACCCCTCCCACCCCACCCCCGCGTGCCCTTGTTTCCGTTTTCTCAGATCTTCCCAGAACCTATTAGATACATTGTGACCGAGGGTATCCCTTGTAAATAAACTGGAAGCAAGCTGTGTATTGCAGAAAAGGGTTACCAGTAACCCGCTACACTCAGAGCCCTTCTCCCCCACTCTCCCCCGCATTAACTTGTCTTGATAATAAAAATCTTCTCGCTCCACGATTGTCACGTCTAGCAATGTTGACCTGACACACTCATATTTGTTTACAAAGTGGCTTTAAAAATTCCCTTGTGTTTTTATTTGGAGGTAATGTAACCCTATAATAAGAATGTAATCAGCTGGGAATTGAGCTGGAATTAGATGAGGGAAAAGACTTTTTAAGGGATGCATTGCTTCAAAACATACCCCCCCCCCAAGTTTTTCTTTAGGTTTAGAGGTAATCTAGTGGCTTCTCCCTATGGACATTTTTGCTATTTGATAAAATTCAAGCGTGTTTAAAAAATTATTCACAATCCTAGTGAAATAGTCAAGAGTCAAGAAAAACTTGCCATATTTAAAAATGTGAAGGTCTTTTTTGAAGGCAAAGCAAATGTGGTTTTGCATGATAGACCTTTTTTTCTACTCCTTTTTTCTGTCTTCCCAACAACTGACTTGCACATCTACTTATTCTAAAGATGTGTGTGTGTGTGTGTGTGTGTGTGTGTGTGTGTGTGTGTTTAAGCTAGAACACAGCCTGGTAAGTTAGAACTGCCAATTTTAACCTGTTACATGTTATATGACCCTTAAGCTAAGAATCCTTTTCTATAGGAGACTGCAAACCTCAGTGCTAGAATATGTGCCCCAATGCTCAGTGATCTTCATTGTTCAGTTAGGCATGAACCAAAGAATTACAATAATTTTTTTAAAATAATATTCTTTTAAGCTCTTTGCTATACAGATATTAATTTTAAGAATCACTATACGAAGGTAATTTGTTTACATTCTACTTAACAGATTTACCAATATATGAGTGAGAAATGCATGCACTCATTTTTGGTATTTGGCCATATTAGCAGCACACTCAATCATGCTATTAAGACTTTCTGGTCTGTCAATGAATGTAACTACAGCATATCTCCTGCACCTAAGGTCCAGCGAACATCAAGGTAGAGGTGTCAGAAGAATGGAAAAGCCAGGGGAACAGAAAATCTGCAGTGAGAGTATGTTTCCTAGAAATAATAGGGAAGCTTTACTCAAGATTCCTAAACAGTATATTTGCTTAAACAGGATCTGAACAGACACAACACCAATAGACATGCTAATGGGGAAGTGGTACTTTCAAGGGGACCCTACCCCTAGACAGAGAACTACAGGCAACTAAGGAGATGAGAGAGAGAGAGAGAGAGAGAGAGAGAGAGAGAGAGAGAGAGAGAGAGTCAGTCCTCCCCAGGGATGAGCTCCTTAACTGGTTATCCAAAACTAAGTGCTCAGCCCTGAAATCATATACATTCAAGCAACACTAAATGGACACAGCAGGCTTTATTTATATATTTATGCAGGTGTGTGTGTGTGTGTGTGTGTGTGTGTGTGTGTGTGTGTGTGTGTGTTTAACAAAAACAATTAAAGAAAAAGAAGCTATGAATTTGAGAGGCAGTTGGGGACATAGGAGGGAGATAAACTTTGATGGCAATTTCATTATATTTTAACTTAAAAAAATAGAAAGACTTTCTGGGCTGTTGTGTGGCTTTGTAACAAAGTGCTTGCCTAGCATGCCAGAGGCTTTGAGATTGTTGAGTCACAACACTGGGGAAGGGGCTGATTTTCTAAGCCCAAATGTGAAGATCACTGAGTCATAATGGCTACTGAAAAGGGCATTTTACTTCTTGGATCATGCTATTGATATGTGGACAATGAGACTGTTTTACATGCATAAAACCGAGTCATTTATGTCACATCTCCTGGTAGCTAAACATAGATGGGTTCACTGTAACTGGACAGGACAGGGGCCAGCATATACCCAACTGGGGTACAGGCAGGATGTTCCTTCAAGCTGGATGCCTAGGTTATACAGCAGCTGGCCGTGGAAGAAGTAGCTTATATCACTGTCAAACAAAAAGCAGCCATATCAGAGAAGAGACAGTAAGCAGGAAATTTAGGTGGAAAGAACACTAAAGCTATATAGATACTATTTAGCTGAAGTAGGTAGGTGTGTGGTCTGAATAGGAATGGCCCCCATAGACTCATGTATTTGAATGCTTGTTCATCAGGGAGTGGTACTGTTAGGAGGTGTGGCCATGTTGGGGGAAGAGTGTCACTGGGGGTAAGCTTTGAAGATTCAAATGCTCAAGCCAGGCCCAGCTTCTCTCTCTCTCTCTCTCTCTCTCTCTCTCTCTCTCTCTCTCTCTCTCTCTCCTGCCTTCAGATTTGGATGTAGAACTCTCAGCTTGTTCTCCATCACCATGTCTGCCTGTGTGCTGCCATTCTTTCCACCATGATGATAAATGATTTGACCCTCTGAAACTGTAAGCCAACCCCAGTTAAATGTTTTCCTTTATAAAAGCTGCCATGGTCATGGAATCTCTTCACAGCAATAGAAATCCTGACTAAAACAGCAGGCCAGATGATGAATATATTGGTATATAATGGGCTAGTAGAAGCAACCTTTGAATGACAGAGGGAAGAGACTTGTGAGAAGAATTAGGTAATCAAGATAAAAAACAACTGGCATGAGAATTGTAGTACAAGGGAGCTTGAAGGTCAGTTATTTGAATTATGAAAAAGATCAGTGTGTGATTTGACTTGAGAGTGAGCCAGTTTAGCACAGACCTATGATAATTTAAATCCCACTATTATCCTCCACTCTGCACTGCTCCAAATGGGGGAGGGTGGGTACTAAGACTTAAGACTAGGCTCAAGGCTTCAGATAGGGCAAAGGAATGGTTCTACATGAGGGAAAAGAAGATAGGAAATATGCCACAAAACATTCCAGTCAACAATAGACCACATTTACATATGGTTCTGTGACAACTAAGAACTGAAAAATTTCCTATTGACATTGTAGCTTTAAATGCCATAGCATAAAGCATTACTTGTGTATTTGAATCCATGATGTAGTAAAGTGAATTGCTGTGCTCTTGAACATAGTATAACATAAATACCATATACTGGCTTATTATGATAATGTTGCTGATTCATGTATTTACTATACCATTTTAATTGTTGTTTTGCAGGGTACCCCTGACTGTTTAAAATGACTTATTATAAAACAGTATGCTATGCTATACCAGTGGCAGTTCCATACTTCTCATGTTAATAGTATCTCTTAGTTACATGCATCAAGAGAAAATACAAAATAACTTATTCATTCTAACTAGTTTTGTGCTAATTCACTTTATGTTTGACCTATGATAAAACCATCTAAAATTAATGCTCAAGATTTATTCCCATTGTTAAACAATGCATGGTTACATATTCTTTTAAAGTAAGACATTAAGATTGCTTATAGTTGGTTGTTTTTATTTTTTGCTCTTTGACTCTTTTGGAGACCTGCCACCCAGCTTCCAGATAAATATACACATGGAGTCTTATGCTTACTTATAAATGCTCAGCCTTAGCTTGTCTTATTTCTAGCCAGCTTTCCTTAACTTTAATTTTCTTGTCTACCTTTTGCCTCTAGGCTTCTTCCTTTTCTTACTTCTGTGTATCTTACTTTCACTTTTACTCTGTGGCTGGCTGTGTGACTATGTGGCTGTGTGGCTGTGTGGTGGCTGGTCCCAAGTGTCCTCCTCTCCTTGTTCTTGCACCTCAATCTTTTCTTCCCAGATTTTTCCTCTTATTTATTCTTTCTGCCTGCCAACCCTGCCTATCCCTTCTCCTGCCTAGCTATTGGCTGTTCAGCTCTTTATTAGACCAATCAGGTGTTTTAGACAGGCAAAGTAACACAGCTTCACAGAGTTAAACAAATGCAACATAAAAGAATGCAACACATCTTTGCATCATTAAACAAATGTTCCACAGTATAAATGAATGTAACGCATCTCAAACTAGTATTCCATAACAATTGCTAGGAAGTTTCTTTTAATTTTTTATATTGGTAGTAAGCAATTAAAGCAAAGAGAAAGTTAATTTTAGTTTGATATCCAAACTAGGAGAGAAAAAAGGAACTGAAAAAAATACCAATTGTTATTGTAGTAAGCATTATTAAATTTCCACTCAAGCTTCTGGATTTTATGAAATTCCATATGGGAAGTATTAACATTTTTCTTAGGAGGATAAATAATCTGAGAAAAATATTTGACATTAATTTTTATAATTTATAAATGCAGGAGGCTGGAGAGATGGCTAAGCAGTTAAGAGCACTTGCTGTTCTTGCTGAGGACCCAGGTTCCTAGCACCCACATGGTGACTCACAATTATCTGTAACTCCAGTTCCAGGGATCCCATGCCTTCTTATGGCCTCTGAGGATATTTAGGCATGAAAGTGGTACACACATACATATGCACAGGGAAAACACCCATCCACACAAATAAAATTTAAAAAAATTTAAATTTTTTCAAAATGCAATAATTAAATCAATCTGCTCTAAAAAGTGTGATATTCTCATGGATCACCATTATCAAGAGCAGAATTAGAAACTGAATATATATAATGTTTCATAAAGTATGAAACATCTTTCTAATGAAGAGATTATATCTATAGATAAATATATGATGCAGTTTGTCTTTGTTTCCATTATAA